GAACGTCAGCCGCGGTGACCGTCAGGGGTAAAGACTGTGTGTGGCCAGGTGGACTGCACGCATGCCTGTCCTTGTATATGTCTCTGCATCACCACTGTGTCTTGGGCTCTTACCTTCTCTGTGCCGTGTCCACTCACTTTGCCAGTCGTTTTTGTCTGCTCACTGACCCCCATTCTCGTGGCCTCACGTGGTCATCCTACTGGTGAGGTAGAAACCCCACCTGGTGTCCCCCTCCCACCTTACCCCAACCTGTCCAGCTTTCCTGCCCTCATTGGGCCCAGTTGGGTGTGGGTGCTCCCCTCTTGGGCTGACTGTATCTCCCCTCTGCACCGCTTCCCTGCAGCCCCACAAGTGGTATTCAGAGAGCCACTCAGGAACGTGCAGGCTGAGGAGGGTGCCTTGGCCACACTGCGGTGTGAGCTTTCTCAGCCCAATGCTGCTGTGGTCTGGAGCAAGGGTGGCCTGGAGCTGCAGGCTGATGGGCGCTGGGAGCCTCGGCAGCGGGGCTACACTGCAGAGCTCGTGCTGTGGGACCTGCGCAGAGAGGACGCGGGCGAGTACACTTGTGCCTGTGGACCCCAGGCCACCAGTGCTACCCTCACCGTTACAGGTGGGCCCCAAGGCAACACCTGTCCCAGGGGCAAGTCCCTTGTGCTTTGGGCTGGGCCTGTGGGATGCAGCGCCTCCCTGGGAGTCCCCTGGGGGATAGGGGCTCCTGTAGACATATCAGGCCTGGCAGGAGCCTCAGCCCCCATGATTCCTACCCTGGTAGCTGAGCCCCTGAGGTTACCCCTACCCCCTGCAGCCACACCCCTGTGGTTCCCCCATGCACCCTTGTGGGAACCCTGGGTCTTGCCCTCACTTTCTCCCTAATCCCCACAGCTGTGCCCCTGTGGTCTCCCTGCACTCCACAGCTGCACTCCTGTGGTCTCTCCCTGCACTCCCTTAGCTGCACCCCCATGGTCTCTACCTGCACTCCCATAGCTGCACCCTCATGGTCCCCCTGCACCCCATAGCTGCACCCGTGGTCTCCCTGCACTCCCATAACTGCACCCCGTGTCTCTCCCTGCACTCCCATAACTGCACCCCCATGGTCTCCCCCTGCACTCCCATAACTGCACCCCTGTCGTGTCTCCCTGTGCTTCCATAGCTGCACCTCTGTGGTCTCCCTGCACTCCCATAGCTGCACCCTTGTGGTCTCCCTGCACTCCCATAGCTGCCCCTGCACCTGCCCTCACGCTGCCCTGCTTCCCTGTAGCTGCACCAGTGCGCTTTCTCCGGGAGCTGCAGGCCCAGGAGGTGGATGAAGGTGCCACTGCCCACCTGCGCTGTGAGCTGAGCCAAGAGGATGCTAGTGTGGAGTGGCGCAAGGACTCCCTGCAGCTCTTCCCTTGTGCCAAGTACCAGATGGTGCAGGAGGGAAGGGCTGCCGAGCTGTGGGTGCACCACACTGAGCAGGAGGATGCTGGCCACTATATCTGTGACACAGGCCATGCGCAGAGCACGGCCAGCCTCTCTGTCCGAGGTGAGCTGCTCAGCGGCTCCTGCCCTCCCTGGGGTCTCACCCCCACCCTGGGAGCAGTGGGCACTGTGCTCACCAGCCCTAAGCACCCCTCCCTGGCCCCCCAGCCCCTAGGCCCACATTCCAGATGGAGCTGCAGAGCATGGAGCAGGAGGCTGGCAGTGTGGCCCAGCTACGCTGCCAGCTGAGTGAGGCAGAGCCTAGAGTCCCAGTGCAGTGGCTCAAGGAGGGTGTGGAGCTGCATGCGAGTCCCAAGTATGAGATACGGCGTGTGGGGACCATGTGTGAGCTGCTGATCCATGGGCTGGAGGCCAAGGACACGGGCGAGTACGTCTGCATGGCCGGTGGTCAGAAAACCATGGCTTCTGTCATGGTCAAAGGTGAGCCATCCATGCCACACCCACTGCCCCGGGGGAACACTTGGCCTGGCACCCACTAGGGCCAAGCGCCCCTCTGGACGTGGCTCTGAGGCCTTTGCAGTTACAGGCTCTTCTCCTTTCTGCTCACTCTGGTGTGGGTGGCCCCAGCATGCAGGGGGACAGCATGTCCTAGGACTTCCTGAAGGGCTTGCCTCCCTGCTGGGGTTGGCCACAGGGTGGGGGTGGACAGAGGCAGCCCCCCACCCCACAACCCCTCTGCTTCTTCTGAGTGCCCAGACTTAAGTGTCATGGAGACAAAAGTTGTGCATGGCAAATAGAGGCAGAGTGGGAGGATGTTCAAGAAGACTTGCTGGAGGAGGGGAGTGGGAGGTGGGCCTGGTGCACTGGTGTGGCTGGTAAAGGGACCCCATCGCCTACACCCCCCAGAGCCTGAGGTGACCATTGTGCGGGGGCTGGAGGATGCCGAGGTGCAGGTCGACGGGGAGGTGGAGTTCAGTTGTGAGGTGTCACGGGCTGGGGCCATGGCTGTGGAGTGGCACCTCCAGGGCCTGCCACTACAGAACAACGAGGTGACAGAGCTGGCTGTGCGGGGTGGCCGCACCCACACGCTGCGGCTGAAGGGCGTGACCCCTGAGGATGCAGGCACTGTCTCCTTCCACGTGGGCGCCCACACATCCTCTGCCCAGCTCACTGTCCGAGGTAACGGGTGCCACACAAGCTCAAGCCCTCTGTATGCCAGAGACAAATGCCGGGGTCCCTGCCCCCTGGTCTGAGGGACGGGTGGGGAGGTGGCCCTGTGAGGGGTGACTTGGGGACAGTGGAGGTGTGATGGAGGGGTGCCCCACATGCTTGTGTTCAGGAAGTGGGATGGGATGCTGGGAGGCACCCCTGACAGTGGGCAGTGGCATCCCAGATGCTGAGGCCCACAGTGTTGTGTCCACTGTGCAGTCCCTGATGTGAGCATCCTGGAGCCCCTGCAGGATGTACAGCTCAGTGAGGGCCAGGACGCCCACTTCCGGTGCCAGCTATCCAGGGCCTGTGGCCAGGAGGCCCGCTGGGCCCTGGGAGGGGTGCCTCTGCAGGCCAATGAGATGAATGACATCACCGTGGAGCATGGCACACTGCATCTGCTCACCCTGCACAAGGTGGCTTCTCTGGGTCCTGCCCCATTCATGGTGCTCCCTGGGGAGTGGGGGGAAGTCTCCCACTCCATTTGGACCTGGCTGGGGGCCAGCCACGGTGCTCCCTGGGGGGGGGGGGGGGGGATAGATTACCACTCCATTCAGACCTGGCTGGGGGCCAGCCGGGTTGCTCCCTGGGGACTGGGGGAGAAGGCTCCTACTCCATTCAGACCTGGCTGGGAGCCAGCCACGGTGCTCCCTGGGGAGTGGGAAGGAACGCTCCCACTCCATTAAGACCTGGCTGGGAGCCAGCTGGGGTGCTCTCTGGGTAATGGCCGGGGGGAGGTTCCCACTCCATTCGGACCTGGTTGGGGGCCAGCCATGGTGCTTTCTGGGGAGTGGGGGGGTGGGAAGCTCCCACTCCATTCAGACCTGGTTGGGGGCCAGCCATGGTGCTCCCTGGGGAGTGGAGGGGAGGTTCCCACTCTATTCGGACCTGGCTGGAGGCCTGCAGAGATGGAATAGACCCCCTCTCTCCTTCAGGTGACCCTGGAAGATGCAGGAACCATCAGCTTCCAAGTGGGCTCATGTAGCTCAGAAGCCCAGCTGAAGGTCACAGGTGGGCAGCCCCCTCTCCTAACCAGCCCCTTGCTTGCAGATGTCTGTATTTCCTTAGTTGGGGAGCTGTTGGCAGTGGTGTGGCCAGAAGCCCATGCCTTCCAGAGGTGATCTTACCTTGGGATGGTGACCGTCCACCCCTTGATGGCTAAAGTCACACACCAGAAGGATAGTGTGTGGGGGATCCCAGTATTGGATTAGTGCTCTCCACAGGAGGGAGATGTGGGCCTGGGCCTTTGGGATTTCTCCCCTGTGAATGTCTACTCTTGTGGCACACGCCTGTGTGTGCCATGTAGATAATCATGTCTACATTGATACATGCCTGCACATCCACAGGTTTCCAAGTGACACATGTGGTTTTATACAACAGCATACAAGGTCCCAGGCATGTAGGGAGGACCTAAAGACCTTCAACTTGGGTTATACTTTGTCCCCAGAGCTGGTCATCTCTCTGAATGCCTGACCCTGAGAGCTTCTCCTGTGCTGTCTTACTCCTGGTTGTCAAGCTGGCCCCATGCATCCACCATCCATCATTCATCTACATGTCCATCCACTACACGTTCACCACCCATGTTTTTGTCCATGTATCATCTGTTTACCTATATGCTTATCCATTCATCTACCATTCACCCACCTACTATCCATCCATCCATCCATCCATCCATCCATCCATCCATCCATCCATGCTTTCATTTACCATCCATCTATCCATCTGTTGTCCATCTACTCTTCCATCCACCACCCATCCATCTGTCCAATCACCATCCACTTACATATTTGCTCATTTATCTACCATCTATTCATCCATGATTCATCCATCCACCATCTATCATTCATCTACACATTCATCCATTACACATTCACCACCTTTTTGTCCATTTATCATCCGTTTATCTGCTCATCGACCCACCCAACATTTATGCATCCACCATTCATCCAACCATCCTTCATTCATCTATCTATCTACTGCTCATCTATCTGTCCACCATCCGTCTGTTCATTTACTGTCCATCTGTTCATCCATTATCCATCCACTCATCCATCTACCACCTATCATCCATCTGTTCACTTACCATCCATCTGTTCACCCACCATCCATCCATGGACATCCATCCATCCACCCGGCATCAATCTACCCTACATGCCTCTACCTGGAGAGGGCCTGAAGCTGTGCCATCAGGGAGTCCCCAGTCTGCTGGTAGAGTTAGACATAGAGATGGAGTGTGTCCTGAGTCTCAGGTGCCCCACCAGCCCAGATCTTGAGAGGGTGGACAGACGCAGTCAGCTCTGTGAACTGTGGGGCTGAGAAAGGCACCAGAGTGCAGTGCCCTCCAGCTGAGTGATGGGAGAGGGGAAGTATCCTGGGTGTTGTGATCCAGGTGGGTCCAGGAAGGGCCTGTGTGTTCTTAAGAGTGGGTGTCTGTGAGGGGGCAGCGTGGGAGTGGATTGAGCCTTATAGGTCCCACTGAGGGCTGTGCCTTGGCCCCTCTTGGCCTGGTGTCCCCAGTTGAAGTGTGCTGAATGATGTAAGATACCTGGCCATGGTCTTATGGGAGGGCCATGAGCATGGGGGTGGGGTACAAATGGGTGTCCTGGTAGGTGGTATATGGACAAGCTTGGGAGCTCTGTTGGGAGACGAGAATGGGGAGATGATGCAGTAGGGTGGGGACATGGTCAGGTGTGCACTTTTGGGAGAGGATAGGAGGGAAGGTGGGGGCTGGAATATCAATGGTGTACCCTGGGAAGGGTATGGGGGGGTCTTCTGCAGGAGGGCCCAGCCATGGTGGGTACAGGGGTACACAGCAGGCATTGTCTGCATCTGGGAAGCCCCTGGGTTCAAGCCCCACTGTGTGACAGGGCAAGGGTCAGTTGCCATGCAACATTAGGGCCCCAGAATCTGAGGGCTGGAAGGACCTTGGGGCACGTCTGGGTAAATGGACCTCTGGGGACAGGAGAAACATCTACTTCCAAACGCCCAGGGATGGCAGTCTTACTTCCCAAGGGAGATCCCACACTTTATGAGAGCAGGGGGCCCCATGACTTCTTCCCTCCCCACACCCACCCCCCAAGGATTGGAGCCTTAGGGCTTGTCTGCTCTGCCTCCTGAAAAGGGCGTGGATGCAGGTGACCAGTCTCCTGTGGTGAAACAGGACATGTCCCAATGGGGGTGTTGAGTACAGGGGGCTAAGCTTCCCTCCCATGGGCTTGCTGTGGGTGGTTTGTGTCTCATTCTGCAAGCAAGGTGGGTCAGCTGGCCTGGGTGGACCTCTTGTCTCAGCCCCAGGGCAGCCTCTGCAGACCCCAGGTTGGCTCCACAGACCCAGGGTGCCTAGACCCCCTCCTTTTGCCCTCTTGCACAGAGGCAGTACCACGCCTGGTACGTGGCTTGCAGAACGTGGACGTCTTTGCGGGGGAGGTGGCCACATTCTCCTGTGAGGTGTCCCGTGCGGGGGGGCCGGAGGCCCGCTGGTGGCTGGATGGCACCCTGCTGCAGGATGGTCCCCAGAGTGCTATCTCCGTGCGTGACGGGACCTTCCACTCCCTCACACTCTCGGGCCTGGGGGTTGCTGACTCAGGCACCGTCACCTACCGTGCAGGGCCCCTGGTTTCCACGGCCAAGTTGTTGGTCAAAGGTATTGGCCAATGGGACCCTGCCCTGAGCTGACGCTTCTGTACCTGCTGACCCTGAATGCTTGCTGCGGGCTCCCAGGGTGCCGGGTCCAGGGCTGGCCCCAGGACTCGAGCTGGGCATTGCTCTGTGTGTGCCGTGGGCAGGCATGGTGGGAGGTCTGCTGTCCCGATTTGTGGAGGAGGAGGCCAGGCTGGGGAGAAGTGAAGCCAACCCCATGCCCACCTCCCTGTGGGGCGCCAGGCCTGGCTTCCTGCCTGGTCACCATTCTGTGGCTGTCTATCCCTCAGGTGCTCGCCCAGAGGGCAGCTGGGGAGTGAGAGCCCCCTTCCTGGTCCTGGGCCTGGCCTGCTCTGTCCCTGCTCGCCACTGCTTCCCTTGCTGTGGGCTCAGTTGGGGTCCTGTGACCATCTGGGAAAGATCCATCTTTGGGGAGGATGACAGTGGGGTATCCGGTCCTCCAGGATGGCTGGCCAACAAGGCTTCACTCGGTGCTTCTGTGGAATAAGTGCAGACATTCACCCATGTCCAAGGGGCAGATCAGTTGTTGAGTAGGATTTCAGCAGGCTGAGATGGGACAGGGACCCCGAGGTTGGCGAGGCCCCTGGGGGTGCCATGGGCCCAGCAGAGTTCATAGACCCTGAGCAGGGGTGTTGTGCCCCTGCTGAGGCAAAGCATGCCCTGGGCCAGGGCTGGGGAGGGAGGCAGAAGGTTCAGGAAGGGCCCAGCCCCAACAGAGGCCAAGCCTCCAGTGCCATCTACCCCAGGGAGGGCACAGTTCCCCCATGAGGAGGGCCCTGGGCTGCCGCGATGGGTTCTCCTCCTGCTGCAGCCCCCCCACCCCCGCCCAACACCGCTTGCTTGCTGCTGAGCTGCTGAGAGCAGAGGGTGGGTGGGGTGCAGCCACGCTGCACCAGCTGACACATGACCGGGGTGTCGGCCGACAGATCCCACGGTGGAGGTGGTCAGTGCCATGCAGGACCTGGCCGTGGAGGAGGGCGGCCCAGCCGAGCTCCTCTGCCAGTACTCGAGGCCTGTGCAGGCCACGTGGAAGATGGACGAGCAGGAGGTGTGCGCTGACGGGCGCCGTGTCATCATAGAGCAGGACTGGACCGTGGCCAGGCTGTCGTTCAGGCCGGCCTTGCCCTGCGACAGTGGCATCTATTCTTGTGAGGCTGCGGGCACCCGTGTGGTGGCCCTGCTGCAGGTGCAAGGTGAGGCCTTGCACGGCTCCAGCGTGGTTGGGGCCATCCTTCCTGGTGCAGAGGCGGGTGTGACAGTCAGCATTATGTGGCCGTGCTGGAAAGACAGGGCCCCAACAGGCAGGCCTCTGCTCCTCCTGGAGCTGCCTGATGGGACAGGAGGGGGGTACTGGGCTGCATGCCCTGAGTCCCTGATCTTAGGTGGGGCACTGGAGCCCTGTGTCCCTGTCTGCACACAGCAAGGATACCGTGTGGGGGACCAGGGGTGGGGGGGGCAGTTGACTGCAGCCCCCAGGGGAGGGCCATCATTTGGCCGCTGCCAGTTCCTGGTTGGGAAGGTCGGAACACTGCCTAGTGAGGAGTGATCTGGAGGCATTAGTGAGAGGGCCATCCAAGCCAGGACAAGCAGGTCCTGGTTCTGTAAACAGTGACGTTTTTAAAGCACCTTTTTCTGGTCCCAGGAGGCACAGCTCGGAATAGACAGCAATCCCTCCCTCTAGGGGGCTGTCCCTCTGGGAGCTGAAGTTAGACGTGACAGCAGCTATGGGGAGGGGCTGCCCTTTGAGCCCAGACCTGAGGGAGGCGGGGGTGCAGCTGAGGCATGAGACCATCTGGGATGGGTAGGGTACAGTGGAGCCCAGAGAGGCAGAAAGGGCAGGGGCTCACTGCTGCTTTGACATCTGGGATGTCTAACCCCCATTGGTGCTGTTGATTCTGATGTGGGCAGGAAAGGAGCTGGGATGTGGGGAAGTCTGGTCTGTGGTATGAGGAGCCCGGGAGTGGGACGGTGGCCAGAAGAGAGACATGGGTGGGTCCTGGGGGGGCGTCTGCTCTGAGATGCCCTCCCCCATTCACTCCCTGGGGCTTCGTGTCCAGAGCAGATGCCCCTACCTGCAGGGCATGTGTACTCTGTGGATAAGCTGGGATTGAGCACTAGGGCTGTGAATAGGTTCTAGTTGGGTATGTATCCCAGAGAGCAGTTGGGGCTGTGGTTGCCCCATCCCCCATTGCCCAGGTCAGGCTCTGTAGTGGCTTCCTAAAGTCATGTGGGTCAAGGTCGCACCCTTCCCAGCATCCAGACCAGCCCTGGGTCACCTGGTTCCCCTTTCCTGCCTCACATGTACCCTGCCCAGCTCAGCCATGCCCAGCCTGAGATTCTTCCTCCTCCAGGAAGTTGCTCAGACTTCCCACTGGCATCACTTGCTGTACAGGTGGTGTATCATGGGAATGGGCCGTGGCAGGTGGTAAGCCTGGGCTGCTGTTGGGGCCAGGCAAGCCCAGTCCTGAGCTCATGGCTTAACACATCAAACACACATCCACTTATTAAGTCTGGTGTACTGTGCGAACGAGAGAGCTGGAGAGGGGTGGGGAAGTAGGGCAGGGGTCTCTCTGGTCCCTGTGAGTGAGGGGAGCAGCCCACATGTCTGATCGCGCTGGCTGAGGATTGGGAAGAAAGGGGGCCATTTTCAGAGTCCCACGCTGCAACCTGGGCAGGGGCATATAACTCTTGCTGGGGGCAGGGTTTGAGCCTGGCTGTGGGCTGGGCAGCTTTGGGAATACCTGTGAGGCTTCTCACCTGTCTGGTGTGGAGAAGCACCCCCTCCCTGGCCACCAGCCAAGGCAAGCTACCAGCGTAGTGATGGTATGGGAGTAGGCAGGGCCTCAAGAGGCCCCCGTGGTGGCCCCATGTGGACACCGTGCACTGCCCTCCACTGGGCCACATGCTGGTCAGCCCTTAAGCCCTTCTAATGGGGGTGGGCTCTTCCACATAACTCTGCAGGGGGCCCTGGGGCAGAGGAGGCCCCAGCGCACCCTGAGCCGCCGCCTTCCCCGCAGCCAAGAACACAGTGGTGCGCGGCCTGGAGAACGTGGACGCACTCGAAGGCGGTGAGGCGCTGTTCGAGTGCCAGCTGTCCCGCCCCGAGGTGGCCGCCCACACCTGGTTGCTGGACGATGAGCCTGTGCGAACCTCCGAGAACGCGGAGGTGGTCTACTTCGAGAACGGCCTGCGGCACCTGCTGCTGCTCAAAAACCTGCGGCCGCAGGACAGCTGCCGGGTGACCTTCCTGGCAGGGGACGTGGTGACGTCCGCGTTCCTCACAGTCAGAGGTTAGGGGTGCGGGGCGGGGCTGAGGCCTCGCGGGGTGAGGGGGGGGCGTGTATCTGGAGACCCCTCCCACCGGCTGCGGCTCACCAGGTGTGTGGGGTCTCTGAGACCCCTCCCACCGCATCCTCCACTGTGGAGGTACAGGGCTGGGGGCTGAGGACGTTGGCGGTGGGGGGGGGGCGTCGGTCTTTTGAGACCCCTCCTGCCAGATGCCGGGCCTCCTCTGCCAGGATCAGGGGGGCGGGGCTGGCGGGACCCGGTGGCCAGGAGGTTTCCCAGACCTGCCTCCAGGCCAGCGCGCTCACCGCATACCCCGGCCCCCGCAGGCTGGCGCCTGGAGGTACTGGAGTCCCCGCAGGACGCGGCCGTGCGAGCCGGTGGGCAGGTCCGCTTCAGCTGCACGCTCAGTGAGGCGGTGCCGGTGGGCGAGGCGACGTGGTACATCAACGGGGCCGCTGTGCAGCCGGACGACCGCAGCTGGACGGTCACCGCCGACGGCAGCCACCACACCCTGCAGCTGCGCAGTGCCCAGCCACAGCACGCTGGCGAGGTCACCTTCGCCGCCCGCGACGCTGTAGCCTCCGCGCGGCTCACCGTGCTAGGTGGGTGGTTTGGGCCGCCTGCGGGCAGGCAGGTTGCGACCAGGGTTCTGCTGTTCCAGCCCCAGAGGCTGCCATCCAGGTAGGCTCAGGGTACACTGTCTCCCTGGCTCTGAAGTGCACGACCTTTGCGCTCTCAGACGGTCGGGGCCATCAAGTACAGGGGCTCATGGGCCAGCGCCCACTTCTCAACCCAGGATCAGAAACCAGGCAGGCAGGGCTGGGCACCCGTGGGCGCGGACCGGGAGCCTCCAACTGACCAGCTCCGTCCCCGCAGGCCTCCCAGACCCTCCAGAGGACGCAGAGGTGGTGGCACGCAGCGGCCGTTCGGTAACACTGTCCTGGGTGGCGCCTGCAAGCGACGGTGGCGGCGGTCTCTGTGGCTATAGGGTGGAGATGAAGGCGGCGGCCACAGGCGAGTGGCGGCTGTGCCATGAGCTGGTGCCTGGGCCTGAGTGCGTGGTGGACGGCCTGGCCCCCGGGGAGACCTACCGCTTCCGCGTGGCAGCAGTGGGCCCAGCGGGGGCTGGGGAGCCCGTGCACCTGCCGCAGACAGTGAAGCTCGGTGAGTGGTTGGCCTTCCTAAGGTGGGTGGTGGTAGTCCCGCCTGGAGCGCTCCAGACCTCCCCAAGCTGGAGAGCCCCAGCGCGTCCTTTCTGAAGTGGCTTTGTTTCTGGCAGAGCCCCTGGAGCCAGTGCCTGCGGCCAGCGCCCCCGTGCCTGCGGTCCCCGCCCCCGTGTCTTCAGTCCCCGTGCCTGTGGCCCCGGTTCCTGCGCACCCAGCTCCCACACCTCCCGCTCCAGAGAGCCGGCAGGTGGCTGCCGGCGAGGACGTGTGTCTGGAGTGTGAGGTGGCCGAGGCGGGCGAGGTGGTGTGGCTGAAGGGGGCGGAGGTCATCCAACCCAGCGGGCGCTTCCAGGTTCTCTGCCAGGGTCAGCGGCGGACGCTGGTGATCCGGGGCTTCTCAGAGGAGGACCAGGGGGAGTACCACTGTGGCCTCACCGGAGACCCGGCCTCCTCTGCAGCTGCCTCCTTCCAGGGTGTGTCCTTGGGACCCAGCTAAGGCGGGGGGTGGGGGTGGGGTGGGGTGGGGCGGGGCGGGTGGGGGTAAGCCAGCCCCTCCTCTTCATCAGCTCCTTGATCCTCTTGGGGAGCCCCTCTCACACCAAAGAAGACTGAGGTCTGGTGGGGAGATGCACAGACCCGTGTGGCTGAGTCTCTTGTCACAAATCATAGAGCTGGTACCTCAAGCCACACTGCTCCCTGAGCACGTCCTGGCCAACACATCCCTTGGTACCCACTGCTGGTCCCCTAAGCTTTCGGACCCTGCCTTCTGAGCCTCCTCCTCATGCACAGGGACCTCTTGTGCTCTGAGTCCTCCCACTATGAGCATCCCCACTCTGACCACATTCCCCTGTGCTCTGAACCCCCACTATGAAGCTCCCTACTCTGATGGCCTCTCCCCTATGCTCTGAGCCCCCCACTATGAGCCTCCCCACTCTGACCACCTCTCCCCTGTGCTGAAACCCCCACTATAAGCCTCCCCACTCTGACCACATCTCCCCTGTGCTCTGAAGCCCCCACTATAAGCCTCCCCACTCTGACCACCTTCCCCTGTGCTCTGAGCCCCCCACTATGAGCCTCCCCACTCTGACTACCTCTCCCCTGTGCTCTGAACCCCCCGCTATGAGCCTCCCCACTCTGACCACCTTCCCCTGTGCTCTGAACCCCCTCACACTATTTGTCCCACTGCATCTGCACTGATCCTGGCCCCGTGCTCCCCTGGGCTCACTCCTCCTGTGCAGGTGCCCAAGGTAGGGTGAAGTCTGGCTTCAGCAGGGGAAGCTGAGGCTGAGAGGGCAGTTTAGAGCCTCTGAAACTTCATAAAGACTGGACCTCCAGAAAACCCTGGTGGCGCAGGGAGGTGCCAGAGGCCTACTGAGGGGAACCACACAGCCGCCATGGCCAGCCTGGGGTCAAGGGTCTCTCCTGACTCTGCTGATCAGTCTCCTGTCCTTCTTAGTGGTGCTGACCACGGGATCTGAGGACGAGGCCCCTGCACAGCCCAGCCTGCCCCCCGAGGCAGCCCAGGAAGGTGACCTGCACCTGCTGTGGGAGGCCCTGGCCCGGAAGCGTCGCATGAGCCGTGAACCCACGCTGGACTCCATCAGTGAGCTGCCTGAGGAGGATGGTCGTTCACCACGCCCGCGGCAGGAGGTAGAAGAAGCGGCCCCAGACCTCTCTGAGGACTACTCCACAGCAGACGAGCTGGCACGCACTGGCGAGGCCGACCTCTCGCACACCAGCTCTGACGACGAGTCCCGGGCAGGCACTCCCTCCCTGGTTACCTACCTCAAGAAGGCTGGGAAGCCCAGCACCTCACCACTGGCCGGCAAGGTGAGTGTCCAGTGTGGCCTTCGAAGAGAGGCCTGGATGTCTCAGATCTCCATCAGCCATATGCCCACCCATTTCTCCATTATCCATACATCTGTCCATCTAACATCCATTTATACAACCACCTATCCACTCACCACCCATCTGCCATCCATTCTCTGTCCATGCATCCATCCATCTACTACCAACCCACCCATCTATGCATCCATCGATCCACCACTCACCATCCATCCTTCCACCATTCACCCACCCATCCACCATCCCCCCACCCACCCATCCATCCATCCACCCACCCATCCATCATTCACCATCCATCCACCCATCCACCACCCATCCATCCATCCATCCACCATTCACCCATCCACCACCCATCCATCCATCCATCTACCCATCCACCATTCACCCACCCACCCATCCCTCCATCCAACATCCCCCACCCACCCATCCCTCCATCCACTATCCCTCACCCACCCATCCCCCACCCACCCATCCACCATTCACCATCCATCCATCCATCCATCCATCCACCACTTACCCACCCATCCATCCACCACTTACCCACCCATCCATCCACCATCCCCCACCCACCCACCCATCCATCCACCATCCACCCACCCATCTCCCACCACCCATGCATCCTCCCACCCACCATCCACCTGGCTGTTAAGAGCTAAACTGGTCTCTCTGTGGTGTTCCTCACAACCTGTCAGTTCCCGTCCAGGTAACCATTAGAAATGATTTCAGGGAGGGTGGGCTTGCCTCTCGGTGGCAATAGGAGTCATAAGGCATCCAGCCTCTGTGAAAGTTATGCAATTTCAGGCAGGCAGAAGGCAGAGCAGCATGGTGAAGTGAAACATGAGCTTTGCTTCCAGCTTCCTGTATGTCCCTGCACTGTCCTTTCTCTGTCACGGGCCTCAGTTTCCCTGCCTTACCTGTGCACACAGCTTGGGATCCCTGCAGTTGGGAAGCCACCGAAGCATCAGGAACAGCCACCTGCAGTTCACCCACCCCCGGGAAGCCTGAGGGCTGAAGACCTGGGTGACCCGTCCATGGACAAGGCAGCGGTGAAGATCCAGGCTGCCTTCAAAGGCTACAAGGTCCGCAAAGAGATGAAGCAGCAGGAAGGACCCGTGTTCTCCCGCACGTTTGGGGACACTGAGGCACAGGTGGGGGATGTCCTGCGTCTGGAGTGTGTGGTGTCCAGCAAGGCGGATGTGCGGGCTCGCTGGCTGAAGGACGGCGTGGAGCTGACTGACGGCCGGCACCACCACATCGACCAGCTTGGGGACGGCACTTGCTGTCTGCTGGTGACGGGCCTGGGCCGTGCAGACGCTGGCCGCTACACCTGCCAGGTGAGCAGCAAGTTCGGCCACGTGGCCCACAGCGCCTGTGTGGTAGTCAGCGGGACTGAGAGCGAGGCGGAGAGCTCCTCGGGGGGCGAGCTGGATGACGCCTTCCGCCGAGCAGCCCGGCGGCTGCACCGCCTGTTCCGCACCAAGGGCCCGGCCGAAGTATCGGACGAAGAGCTCTTCCTGAGCGCAGACGAGGGCCCGGCGGAGCCGGAGGAGCCGGGGGACTGGCGGACTTACCGCGAAGAAGAGCACTTTGTCTACATTCGCTTCGAGGCGCTTGCCGAGGCCCACCGTGCGGCCACCTGCTTCCGGGAGATGTTTGGCACCATGGGCATCGGCGTGGACATCAGCCTGTCAGAGCAGGGTCCCCGGGGGGTGGAGATGCGCATCAGCAAGGTGGCTCCTGCCCCCGCAGCAGCTCAGGAGGTGGTGCCCCGGCCGCTGACCACAGATGCCGGTGAGTCTGCGCGCTGTCTGTGGCGGGGCCGGAAGGGGGAGGGGCGACAAGGGAGGAGGGGTGGGGGCAGGGTCTGGAGGGGAAGGGCAGGAAGGGGAGGGGCGGGACCAGGAAGGGGGAGGGGCGACAAGGGGGAGAGGCGGGGTCAGGGCCTGGAGGGGGAGGACAAGAAGGGAGAGGGCGGGGCCTGGAAGAGGAGGAGCGGGGCTGGAAAGGGAGGGCGGGGCAGGGAAAAGAGGGGGCGGGGCCTGGAAGGGGGAGGGGCCTGGGATGAGGAGGGGTGGGGCGGTAAAGGGTGGAGCCTAGAATGGGGATGGGGCGGGGCCTGGAAGGGAAGGTGGGGCGGGGCTTGGAAGGGAGGGCGAGGGGGGTGCCTGGAAGGGAGGGTGGAGCAGGGGCGGGAGGGGGAGGGGCAGGGCCGGGAGGTGGGGCGGCAGGGCCGGTGTGACCTGGGTCAGCTGAAGACTCAGGGAGCTGGCTGGGCTCCAGCTTGGGGCCACTGCGGATGCAGCTGCCTGAGCTGGAGGAGCCCTGAATTTGGGGTTAGAGCTCGGTTTAAGTCCAGCTCTGTCTGTTACGTGCTAGCTACTCTGAGCCTCAGTGTTGTCTATGAAGTGGGTATAGAAATATGGACTTTCCAGAGTTTGTGTTTGCTCCGTGAGGGTTTGGGGTAAAACCAGTATAAAAGGTGGCATTCCACGGCCCCCATCTTCTGCTCCAGCAACTAAAATTACTTTTAAAGCTACTCCACCATTCCCTTGTGTTTCCCTAGGAGTAAAGAAGGTATATAACCCCCATGGCCTCATGTCTGGAAACCTCCCCTGTGCAATTATGGGCCATTCTCATGCTTGCAGCCCACACGACTTCTGTCTCTCTTTACCTGCCCCTCCTACCTGTTTCCTGCCCACTATCCCTCTGGCTTCTCAGTGGCTTGAGATGCAGGCTGGCAAGGAGAGGATCCTCCTAGAGAACAGGGGTGAAGCTGGCAGACGCAGAATTGTGTTTAGCCCCGGGGTCTGCAAGCACTCCCACGTGAATGGGTGCCGTGAACTGGATGCACGTTGAGCCGCTGGCAGCTGGGCTGACTGGTGGAGACCCTGGGGCCAGCTCATTGCATACCCTGCCTGACCCTCCCAGCTCCAGTGTTCCTGACTGAGCTGCAGAATCAGGAGGTGCAGGACGGGTACCCCGTGAGCTTCGACTGTGTGGTGACAGGCCAGCCGGTGCCCACCGTGTGCTGGTTCAAGGACGGCAGGATGCTGGAGGAGGATGACCACTACATGATCAGTGAGGACCAACAGGGCGGCCACCAGCTCATCATCACTGCAGTGGTGCCTGCAGACATGGGTGTCTACCGCTGCATGGCTGAGAACAGCATGGGTGTGTCGTCCACCAAGGCAGAGCTCCGTGTGGACCGTGAGTGTGGCAGCCCCCAGAGAGCACTGGTTTCGGGTCGGACAGGATGTGGAGCCTCATATCTTGTGGCTGGGGTGGGGGCAGAGACCTTATCTCCTTGGGAGGTGCCTAGGCTGGGGAGGGGCCTGGGACAGTTTGGAGGTGTCTGGCACACTTGGGCGGTTAGCTATGGCACAACAAGAAATATGTACTTGGTCTTGTTCCGGGTTCCTAGCGCACAGTTCTTAAATCCCATGTTGTATTCTAATGCCGAGACTCCTGGTGGGCCTCAGGACAAGTACATCCATTTGATTGTTGACAGAAGTGCAAGGGCAATTAAGTGGAGGCAGGATAGAATTTCAGATTCAAGGATAGAATCTCAAGTAGTGCTGGAGTCATTGGGACATTTATAGGCAAAGAATTAGACCTTGGCTTTATACAAAAATTAGCTCAAAATGGACTATATATGTAAATGTTAAATACAAAACTATGAAGGTTTCAGGAAAAAAAATAGGGAAAAATATTTAGGATCCAGGAGAACACTCCTTAGATTTGATACTAAGCACACCCATAAAAGGGAAAATTGGTAAAGGTTATGAATGTTTGCTCTGAGAAAGACCCCGTGCAGAGGGTTGTCAGAGTACAGGATGGGAGAAGGTATCTGCAAACCACATATCTAGTAAAGGACTTTATCTAAAAATATATACAATAAATTCTACCTCTGAAACCAATAAAAATAAGGAAAACATGAAATATATGTGCAGGAAAACTTGGGTTTGTGAGCATAATTCATTCCGGAAGCATGTTTGTAATCCAAAGTGCTCGTATATCAAAGCAAATTTCCCCATAAGAAACAATAGAAACTCAGATGACTTGCTCCACAGCCCCCAAATACTCATATAAAAATGATTACAATACTGTAATATAATGCAAAATAATCAAGAAAATACAAAATATAAAGAAAAATTAACATGTACTTACCCTGAAAATGTTTGTGGCTGGTGTAAGGGAGACAAGGGAGAGGAGGATTATTGTGTAGGGCAACCTTCACTATCACTAATGGAATCACTGCTATCTATTGGTTCCATGGAACCTTCTGCATGGGGGCCATTTTATACACTCACACAGATGTTGACCTCACTACAGTATTAATAAACTCTTGTCATGTATTGAATGTAACTGTCAGTAAGGCGGCAGAGGAAATGATCTATATCTGCAGGCAGCCTGACCTAGAATGAAGCTAAGCATTCCTACCTAAGCTCACTCTTGTATGAAAAAGCAAAGGGCTGTCCATAGGTGATTGGAAGTGACAAAAAAAAAAAAAAAAAAAAAAAAAAAAAAAGCACAAGTGCCAGTTGTGGGCACCTTCCAATGTTTTGAAAAACCACTGATTTCTGTGAAATGCCATGGCCTGAGACTGAGTATGAGCATCTGAGCATAGAAGACAATCACCCACAATCCTGCAGTGAGAGAGAAAGAGAGAAAGAGAGAGAGAAGTACTACTCATATTGCAACACATCGCTCAGTTTATCAAGTTAAAATTTATTAGAAATGTTTGCTCATCTTGTGGAATGCTCGCAGAACAAGTTGTTCACAATCCACAGTTTTACTGTGTATATAAAGAATGGTCAACAGTAAACAATAAAAAAAAAGAAATTAAAAATCCAGTTAGAACAGAAGCAAAAGACATGTCCAGATGTTTCACACCAGAGGACACCCTGAAGGCAAATAACATGGAAGGTATTCACCATCATTAGCCACCAGGGAAATGCTGATCAAAACCCCAGCGAGATGTCACTCTACACTTAGCAGGATGGCTAAAATAAAAAATAGAGACAACACCCAGTGCTGGCGAGGAGGCAGAGAAACAGGATTGATTATGCATTGCTGGCAGGAATGTAACATGGTACACTCCATCTGGAAAAGAGGGTGGCAGTCAGTTACAAAACCAACCGCATAGCTAACATGTAATGCAACAGTTGCTGTTTTTGGTGTTTATCCCAGAGAAATGAAATCCCAAATTCATAATAAAACTTGTACCCAAAGGCTCTTAGCAACCTTATTCTCAACAGCCAGTAACTGGTCACAACCCAGCTGTCCTTCAGTGGGCGATGGTTACATAGTGGTACAGCCATTGTAGGGAACACTGCTTGGCAAGGAAAAGGGATGTGTCAGTGTCACCTTCTGTAGTTATGACACAAGCGACCTCGGTTGCTGGAGACTGAAGGGTATATAAGGTCTGAGAAAAACTAGGTTACCTCTAACAGATTCACGGGAGGCCAAAGCAAACCTCCCCCATCCCAGTTTTGGTGGGCACTTCTAAGACCTGTATATGAGTTTCCAAGGGGCCGGGAACACAGGGGCCCAGGAGAGGTCATCAAGCAACACTAACAAGATGTAGGGCCAAATGTGGAGTCAGTATCATCAGCACAACTGCACACAGCAGTAAGTCAGTTACCTCGAATGAGACCAGATTGTGTGTTTACCCAGTAGGAGATATTTCATTCTGCTGTGTAGATCTGGATTTCCATCTGCTCTCACTTTCTTTCTGCCTGAGGGACATCTTTCTGCATCTTTTTTGTAGTCTGGGTATGCTAGAGTTCTCTCAGCTTTTGTATGCCTGAAAGAAACGTCTATTTCTATTTTGGTTCCGGAAGATATTTTTGTTAGGACTTTTTTTTTTTTTTCTCTTTTTCATTCTTTAAAGGTGCTGTTCCACTGTTTACTAACTTGCATTGTTTACACCTGAGAAATAGGATGCCATTCTTACCTTTGTTTCTCTGTGCAAAAATTTGCATTTTCTCTTGGGATTTAAAATGTTTAGATATCTACACACCATCGAAGTTGTTTAAAAATGTGCAATTCAGTGGATTGTAGTATATTCATAATGTTGTGCGACCAGCATGACCATCCAGTGCCAGAGTGTTGCAGACTTTGAATCTGAAGTTCTCTCGTGTCCAGCAAGAGAGCAGATGCAGAATTGCATATGAGAGAGGCTAATGTCTGGGAGGAGACAAGAGCCCCAAACAGGGGTTTCGTCTCTGTATTGATTGAGCTCTCAAGGTTTTACATATGTGGTGAACTTGCTGAAGAAACCAATAAGCTAGGGACCAATAACTTGTGTGTGTAACAAGCAAAGGGTTCGGGGGGCGAGTGGCATTAGAAGTTGAGATTAAATCTGAGTGTGGTTTTGATTTGTATTTCCCTGATAAGGAGTGACGTTGAGCATCTTTTCATGTGGAGGTTCCTTAGAAAATTAAAAATAGACCTATCCTATGACCCAGCAATAGCACTGCTAGGAATTTACCCAAGGGATACAGGAGTACTGATGCATAGGGGCACTTGTACCCCAATGTTTATAGCAGCACTCTCAACAATAGCCAAATTATGGAAAGAGCCTAAATGTCCACCAACTGATGAATGGATAAAGAAATTGTGGTTTATATACACAATGGAGTACTACATGGCAATGAGAAAGAACGAAATATGGCCCTTTGTAGCAACGTGGATAGAACTGGAGAGTGTGATGCTAAGTGAAATAAGCCATACAGAGAAAAACAGATACCATATGTTTTCACTCTTATGTGGATCCTGAGAAACTTAACAGAAACCCATGGAGGAGGGGAAGGAAAAAAACAAAAGAGGTTAGAGTGGGAGAGAGCCAAAGCATAAGAGACTCTTAAAAACTGAGAACAAACTGAGGGTTGATGGGGGGTGGGAGGGAGGGGAGGATGGGTGATGGGTATTGAGGAGGGCACCTTTTGGGATGGGCACTGGGTGTTGTATGGAAACCAATTTGACAATAAATTTCATATATTGAAAAAAAAAGTTGAGATTAAAGCACAATGATACACCAGATGGACAGTGTTTCTCTGTGGGTGATACAGCCAAGCAGCTCCTATCTCCAAAGTGTAAGGTTGCTGGAGCAGGGTGCCTCAAGGCTAACAAAGCACCTTTTCTCTAGCTAACGTCAGGTGCTTCTACCCTGTAGTGGCTTTCCGCCTCTAACTGGTCTTGGACACTTTCATCCTGTCGAGGCAGCTTTCCATCCTAAGCCTTGTTAACTCATTAGTGCAAGCTCAGGGAATTATTATTTTTATTTTTTTAACATTTACTTATTTTTGAGAGACACAGTGCAAGTGGGGGAGGGGCAGAGAGAGATTGAGAGAGAGAGAGAGAGGGAGAGAGAATCCGAAGCAGGCTCTAGGCTCTGAGCTGTCAGTACAGAGCCCAAGGTGGGGCTCAAACTCTAGAACTGCGAGATCATGACCTGAGCTGAAGTTGACACCTAACTGAGTCACCCAGGCACCCCCAAGCTCAGGGAATTCTTATGCTTATTTCCCACACCAGAGCATTTCTGTCATCCCAGAAAGAAACCCTGTGTCCATTCACTGTCAATCCCCACTCTGCCTTCCCTGGCCCCTGGAGACCACTAAGCTACTTTCTGTCTCTGTGGGTTTGCCTGTTCTGGACATTTCATATAAATGGAATCATATGATACGTGGCCTTTTGTGTCTGGTTCCTGTCACTGAACATGTCCCAGAGATCCATGTGTGTTGTAAAATACATCAGTACCTCATCTGTTTTTCAGGTTGAACAATACTCCCTTGTATGTGGACTGCTTATCCATTCATCAGGTGGTGTTTATCCATCAGTTGTCTTGGGTCTTATAAGTAATGCTGTTGCACACATCTGTGTACAAGTAGTTGTTTTGTGACATATGTGTTCAGTTCTCTTGGACACATACCTAGGAGTGGAATCACGTGGTCATATGGCAATTCTGTGGCTAACTCTTGGAGGAATGGCCATGCTCTACAGGGGCTGTGCCATTGTCAATTCCCACCAGCAATGGATGCAGGTTCAAATTCCCTACATCCTCATCAGTACTTGTTATTATTCACCTTTTTATTTATTAAAAAAATTTAATGTTTATTTATTTATGAGAGAGAGAGAGCGAGCAGGGGATGGGCAGAGGGAGGGAGACAGAGGATCCTGTACTGTCAGCACAGAGCCTGATGTAGGGCTCAAACCCACGAACCTTAAGATCATGACCTGCGGCAAAGTTGGACACTCAACCAGACTGAGCCACCCAGGGGTTTTTAGTAATTGCTGCCCTAAGCAGTGTGGTTTTGACCTGCATTTCCCTGGTGACTAATGATGTTGAGTATCTTTTCATGTATCTTTTATTGGATATTTGTGTATGTTTTTTGGGGGAAATGTCTACTCAGGTCTTTTCCCCATTTTCAGATTGGGTTTTGATTTTGAGTTGTAGGAGTTCTTTATATATTCTGTGTACTAGGCCATTATCAAATATATGATTTTTGAACATTTTTCCCCATTCTGAGGGTTTTCTTTCCACTTTCTTGATACACAAAATTTTCAATTTGATGAAGTCCACTACTTTTCCTTTGCTTGCTTGTACTTTTGTTGTGATGTTTACAAGACCATCACCTAGTTTTTGCTATAAACATTTACAACAATGCTTTCCTCTAAGAGTTTTACAGGTTTAGCTCTGATATTTAGGTTTGCTTTTTGTATATGGTGAGAGGCTAAGGGCCCAAATTCATCCTTGTCTTGTGGAAATCCAATGTTCCAGCACTGTTTGTGGAAAAGACTATTTTCCTCCATAAGATGGTCCTGGAACTCTTGTCAAAATCTCATTTCCATGAAACAAGTGGGTTTATTTCTGGGCTCTTCATTCTGTCTCATTTATCCATGATCTGACCATCGTGCCACCACCATGCTGTCTCGATGGCTGTAGCTTCATTGTAAGTTTTGAAATCTAGACATGTGGGTCCTCCAACTTTGCTCTCGTTGAAGACTGTTTTGAGCCTCTGGGTCCTTTGCATTTCTACATGAGTTTTAGGATCAGTGTGTCTGCAGACCTTCTTGAGATCCTCCTCAGAGGTGGGGTCCAGGAAGCTGGGCTGATTCCCTCCCTCTACTGAAAGGAAAGACTTCCTGAGCACCTGATCCACAGACTGTGAAAGTTTCCAGTCTGACTAGAAACACAGTATCCTCCGCACTGTGTCCATGGCCCCTTCAGAGGTCTCTTTCCCCATGTTCACATGCCAGTCAGTGCTTTGCTGACCCTCCAGTGAGAGGGTCCCCACTCTCTGTGTGCAGCTCTCTCTTCTCTGGCTTCTGTCCTGTGGACTCCAGCAGCCTTCATCTCCCAGGATGCCAACTCTGTCTCCTCAACTCAGGGTCTACCTGGCTCTGCCAACCTCAGTTTCCCCTCCTAGACCTGGACACTGAAGGCAGGAAGCTGGGGTGATCACAGGGCTCACCATTATTTCCTATCTGTAAGGGATCAACAGGAAATTCTCTGACACCAGCTGGGGGTCCTACAATTCACTCAGCTCTGGCCCCATCTATGTGGAGATGGCATCAGACCCCACAGGCTCAGCCCCACAAGACCACCCCCACTTCAGACGCCAACCCCAAGTCCAGACATCACCTGTGCTCTGACCCACAGGCAACAGATCACAGGTTCCCACGGCCCCTCCTCGGGTCTGATGAATGTGCTGGAGGGACTCAGAGAGCTCAGGGAAATGTTTGACTTGCTAGATTAGTGGTTTATTACAAAAAGATATAACTCAGGGATGGCCTGTTAGAAGAGACGCCCAGATCAAGATGCTAGGGAAGGGATGGGAAGCTTCCATGCCTCTCCAGGCACGTCATTCTCCCCACGTCTCTATGTGCTCCCCAGCCTTCAATCCCCCCCCAATGCTGAGACTGTCCCTCTGAGTTTTCATGGGGGCTTCATTGCATAGACATGATCGATTAACACATTGTCCATTGGTGATTGATTCCATCTCCCCTTCCCAGAGGTCAGGGGCAGGACTGAAGCCTCCAACTCTCTGGTCCCACGGTGGGGTCCAAAGGCCACCAGCCGCCATCCCTAGGGGCTTTCTAAAGTCACCACAACAACATGAATTTGGGCTTGTTATGAACACCGTGACACCTTCATTGCTGTCTTCAGTTGGGAAACCCAAGGGCCTTAGGACCTCTGAGCCAGGAACAGTGACAAGGGCCGATTCCGTATTTCTTATAAATCACACTATCACAGCCATTGTCCCACATATTCTGTATGGGGGAAGGGGAGGCTGTTGGGGCTACTGCAGCAGGGACCAGGTGGTAGAAACAACAGAAGTGTACTGCTCATGGCTGCAGTCAAGCTCTTCCTCGCATGGGGTTGCTTCCTGTCAGGGCACTAATGCCATTGCCATGGTGGGGGCTCCGCTGTCAGGAGCTCCTGACTCCCTGACTACCTCCCAGAGCACCCGCTTTTGACACCAGCACACTGCAGGTTTCCACATTTGAGGTCAAGGGGACACGAACATCCTGCCTACAGCAGAGGGTGAGTCCAGACCCTGTTACTCCTTCACGGCTGGCTGTATATGTCACCCCTTGTTCCCTAGTGGGGAAGACTGGAGGATACAGCTGTGGCTGCTCTCTGCCAGTCACAAAGCCCAGCATCACCCAGTATTGACAATTTGTTGGGACTTGCAGTTAGATACAGGCCTGGAAACATGGAGACACCTGGGGTGTGGAGGGGACACCGTCTACCATGTGTCCCATGGCCTCTCCCCCAGGAGTGTCAGTGGCTCCTAGGGATGGGCTCGCACTGAGAGCCAGGTGGCTAGCCTCTGGTGGGGGGCCATGCCTGGGCAGGTGGGGCACAGAGCTCACTCTAGCCACTGTTCCTCTCCCAGTGACCAGCACGGACTATGAAACTGCAGCCGATGCCACGGAGACCTCCTCCTACTTCAGCGCCCAAGGCTACCTGTCCAGGTAGAGGTCCATGTAGACACAGGCAGCACCCAGCAGGCTGGTGGTGCAGGCCCAGGGGGGTGGCAGTGCTGGCCTGGGCAGACAGAACCTGAGTCCTGGAGCTCTCAGCCAGGCCCTGTCAGTGTCCTGCCAGCAAGCAGGGGTCTGCAGGAGCCATCCAGGCCTGACCCCTTGCTGGTCCACCTCATGCCCCTTCTCTGTTCTCCCACCAGCCGGGAGCAAGAGGGCACGGAGTCTACCTCAGAGGAGGGGCAGCTGCCCCAGGTGGTGGAGGAGATGAAGGACCTCCAGGTGGCCCCTGGCACACGCCTGGCCAAGTTCCAGCTCAAAGTGAAAGGTGAGGAAGAGAGACAGATTGCCCGGAGCGCCATCTGGACAGTGGAGGCTGGGTGGGCATGGGGGCCGGGGGTTCTGAGGGCAGGGCGCGCTGGCCGGGGGCTGTTTGCTGACCAGTCCCCTGTGGTCCCAGGCTACCCAGCGCCACGGCTGTACTGGTTCAAAGACGGGCAGCCCCTGACGGCTTCTGCACACATCCGCATGGCTGACAGGAAGACGCTTCACACCCTGGAGGTTGTATCTGTCACCAAGGAGGATGCCGGCCAGTACTCAGCCTACATTAGCAACGCCGTGGGCGCCGCCTACTCATCAGCCCGGCTGCTGGTCCGAGGTGGGTGCGGGGGACTGGGTGTCCCCACCTGGGCAGTGCAAGTGGCCTGGGTGGGGGCAGGCAGGCAGTGAAACAGACCCACAAGTGTGGGAGCACCAGGAGACTGCGGAGGAGGAGGTCAAGAGTCACTTTTGGAGGATGGGTATGAGCTCCTTTGTCCCAAGTTCTGAGCATCGCAAGGTGCTCCCAGGTCACGCCAGAGGGAGTGGCCGAGGGACCCAGCTCTGCCCAGGCTTCACTCGCCCTTCGGTGCCACCCCACGTGCTGGCTCCAGATCAACGCCCACACTCTTGGGGCCGTGGAGGGTTGTGTGTATGAGAGTGGGTGGGACACCCCTACAGACTCCTACCCCCAGCAGGTGCACAGGCCCAGAGGAGGGAGGCCCCCTGGTGCTACAGGCCTGACTTCCATTTCTTGCCTCTTTCAGGTCCCAAAGATCCCGAAGAGAAGCCAGAATCAGGTGAGCCGACTCAGGTGGGCAGAGGTGGGTGGGTGGCTCAGCAAAGTGAGTGAGGGACACAGCGTCGCAGGTAGAGGAGGGTGCACTGTAGGCTGTGGAGACCCAACCTCCAGATGGGATGGGGCTGGGACCTGGGGGGGGGGGCTTGGTGCCCCGAGGATGGGGAGCAGGGGTTCGACATGCATTCATCACCAATGCTTGCTGTTTCTCCAGATGTGTACCAGCAGCTGGTGCCGCCCCGATTCCTGGAAAGATTCACCTCCAAGAAAGTGAAGAAAGGCTCCAGCATCACCTTTTCAGTGAAGGTGGAAGGTGGGGCCGTCCTACTGTCCTACCCCTTGACAAGGACAGCCAAACCCAGGATCAGAGCGGGCCCCGCCCCCTTCCTACCTAGGACTCCTCCCTCAGGATCAGAGCAGGGCCCCTCCCTCTTCCCACCTGGGACCCCTCCCCCAGGATCAGAGAGGGCCCTGCCCTCTTCCTACCTAGGACTCCTCCCAAGGCCCTTCAGTCTTCCCATCTCCCCAAGTCTCCCTCACTGTTCCCTCCTGCCCACAGGGTGCCCGGCCCCAGCCGTGCACTGGCTGCGGGAGGAGGCTGAGCGAGGCGTGCTGTGGATTGGCCGTGACACGCCAGGCTACACGGTGGCCAGCTCTGCACAGCAGCACAGTCTGGTCCTGCTGGATGTGGGCAGACAGCACCAGGGCACATACACCTGCATCGCCAGCAACAGCGCTGGCCAGGCCCTCTGCTCCGCTAGCCTGCACATCTCTGGCCGTGAGTGGGCGTGGGTGACTGCGGGCAGCTGACCTTCACTGAGCCCCCGACCCAGAGCCCTCTCCTGTTGGCCCCCTGAACACAGAGCCCCATGGGCCAGCTCCCACCCCTGTCTTGTAGGCTCTGCATAGCTGGATGAGACCCTCCTAGAAGCCTCCTGCCCCCCTGAGTGTTTTCCTCCTGGGCCCCACTCCACCTCCCAAGGGCCAGGGTCAAGGTCCCTGCTGGGGGGTAGACACCCTGGATCAGGTCCCCGCCAGAATTGTCTCAGGGCTGTGGGGCGTCATCCTGAGGCTCACCCTGTTCTCCTGACAGTGCCCAAGGAGGCAGGGGCAGCAGAGGAGCATGCTGGGGTGAAGGAGGCCCTCATCTCCACCTTCCTGCAGGGGTGAGTAGGGGAAGCAGGTCAGCAGCAGCAGGCCTGGGAGTGGGGCGTTGCCGCCCTTGGGAAGGAACCCCATCCAGACTGCAGCCCAGCCTTGCCCCTCAAGGACTCTGTGGCTTGGGCCAGGCACTGTCCCTCTCTGTGCCTCAGTGTCCCCACTGTAACACCAGGGCTTCGGCTGAAGCATTCCCTCAGGATGCCCCTCCCCTTTAGGACCCAAGCCGTCTCCACGCAGATGTCAGAACCTGCAGGTTTCACTGATCTTGCTGGGCAGAGGAAAGGTATGGGCTGATTGGGAGCAGGGAGCAGGGTGGGGGTCGATGCACCCAGTGCAGGGGTGAGGCATGGAGGAGGCTGCTCCAGGCCCACAGCTGCTCCAGAAATACCTGCTCATCCTCTCTGGGCCAGGGCTTCCTGCCCTCTCCTGGGCCTGATTCTGAATGCTAGTTGGTGTCAGGGCCATTTCTGAGCCTTGCAGATCTGACCCTTGGCTCACAGCTCACGCCCAGTGGGCTGTGTGGATGCCTGGCCTGGACACAGGTGGCAGTGATGGCTAGGTGAAGGCAGTGCAGGAGGCAGGTGCTGGGCATGCCAGCATCCAGACCTGATCTGTCCTGGATTCTCCCCCGTTCCCAGCAGGGTCCTTCGGTTCATTTCCTGGCCACCTGCACAGGCCCTTCTGGCACCTTGGGGTATTTGTAACTTTTTAATGGAAAGCAGGGAGTCTGCACAGAAGTAGAGAAGGGAAGGCCATGTGCTCTGTGTGCTGGTTGCCCACCTTTGGGGTCACTTCTCGGCTGACCCCCCCTCATCCAGGCAGCCCTCATTCACTCTTGACCCGACCCTGCAAAGCTTCCAGCAGTGATGGCCCCAAGTCTGTGCATTCCTCTGCACTGCTGAGACTTGAGCCCAGGTCCAGGCCTGGAGAGCACAGGTCTGCAGGGCCTGCAGCTAGCTGAGCCAGCTTCTGGTCCCCAGGAGAGCCCATGGCGGTGGAGGCCCGTAGCCACTTGTCCCTGGCCGAGGTGGGCACAGAGGAGTTCCTGCAGAAGCTCACCTCCCAGATCACAGAGATAGTGTCGGCCAAGATCACGCAGGGTGAGGGCGCCGCTGGCTGTGGGGCGAGGGTAGGGGCAGTGACTGAATTCCCTTGTCCACGCACCCTGGGGACCCACGGGGAGGGGATATGGGCCAGGCCCTTCCTGGGCATCACATGCCCTATGCCCCCAGCCAAGCTGCAGGTGCCTGGAGGTGACAGCGATGAGGAATCTAAGACACCGTCTGCATCCCCCTGGCATGGCCGTTCCCGCCCCTCCTCCAGCGTCCAGGAGTCATCCTCGGAGTCGGAGGATGGGGACTCCCGTGGCGAGGTGCTCTGATGGGGTGGGGGGGGGGCAGGCAGTGGGCAGGGCACCGGTGGGGGGAGGAGTGGGAGCACAATACTGCCACCTGGGATGGCCTGGACCCCTGGGCCCTCTGGGGTGGCCTCACTGCCACCCTGATGGGATTTCCATCAGCAGAGTTGGGTTGAGCTTGTCCTGGAACTTCTGGAACCTCAGGATGGCTTCTCCCCCAACGTGATGCCAGGCACCCCGCAGCCTCAGGAGGCCCGGCTGGCTCCAGTCTGGGTTTTCCCCGCTCTGGGGTCTTTGTGGGGGCTGTGGGGGTCTTGGTAGGTCAGGCTGGCATCCCTCTGGTCTGACTTGGCATCACCCCCCCCAGATCTTCGACATCTATGTGGTCACGGCTGACTACCTGCCCCTGGGGGCCGAGCAGGATGCCATCTCACTGCGGGAGGGCCAGTATGTGGAAGTGCTGGACTCCGCCCACCCGCTGCGCTGGCTTGTGCGCACCAAGCCCACCAAGTCCAGCCCCTCACGCCAGGGCTGGGTGTCCCCTGCCTACCTGGACAGGCGGCTCAAGGTACCGGATGGCTGGGGCGGGGTCCTGGGATGGACCCCTGGGTCCTCCCACAGGGTAGGGCTGGGCCAGAGATGGGACCACCTGCCACCATCCCCCACTTTCTCACCAGCTGTCACCCGAGTGGGGGCCCACTGAGGCCCCCGAGTTCCCAGGGGAGGCCGTGTCTGAGGATGAATACAAGACAAGGCTAAGGTGAGGGTCCGGCAGGCAGGGGCAGGAGCGGCTTTGTGGCCTCCAGGTAGCCTTGGGGGTGCTGCCCACATTGCCGGGCTCGTTCTGAAGGTGGGCGGTGGTGGGCTGCATGGGAGGAGGAGGCCGCCCGCCCCGCCTCAGGAGCTCCTGGGTCTCTCCTCACCCCATCCCCTCCCAGCTCCATCATCCAGGAGCTGCTGAGCTCTGAGCAGGCCTTTGCGGGCAAGCTGCAGTTCCTGCAAAGCCACCACATGCAGCACCTGGACCGCTGCCCCCATGTACCTGTGGCTGTGGCCTCCCAGAAGGCTGTCATCTTTCGAAATGTGCAGGACATCAGCCATTTCCACAGCAGGTAGGTGGGTAGGCAGGCCCCACGGCTGCTCCGGAGCCCCCAGGTGTGCACACAGACACATGCACATGGGCCAGCCAGGCATGCACAAAGGTACAAACACACGTGACAGTCACAAGTGCACAAAGACGAATGCATGCATATCAGTGATGCATGCGCACACATACTCACGCATGCCTGAGAGAACTTCACTGACTGGGTTTACCCACTGGCGCACCACACCCCTGTTTAAGGGCACAGATGTCCCTAGGAACACAGGCATGTATACCTGGCTCGCCCACAGAAGCGCCTGTAGTATCCTTGCCTGCTGCCAGCACCCATATGTGAGAACGCTCCAGAAACTTCTCCAAACACATGACAGGCACGTCCCACGACATGCACTTCTGTGTACACAGACACAGGCGTGCATACCTGCATTCAGACGCACACTCTGACACGTGTGGGCATGCATGTGTACACGACACACACACGTCATGTGTGCAGATGTGGATGCCCTCACACACCGCACCTGCAGCCTCTCCAGCCCAGACCTGGGCAGCAGCCTGTTTCTCCCCCAGCCTGAGGGCTCGCCATCCCCCTGACCACTGTCCCCTGTTCTGCAGCTTCCAGAGGGAGCTGCAGCAGTGTGACACGGATGACGATGTGGCCATGTGCTTCATCAAGAACCAGGCGGCCTTTGAGAAGTACCTGGAGTTCCTGGTAGGCCGCGTACAAGCCGAGTCTGCGGTGGTCAGCACAGCAGTGCAGGAGTTCTACAAGGTGCCCCCCAGCCCATGCCTTATAGTTTTCTGAGAAAAGCAGGGCCCCTGAAGCTCTGGGCTCAGCTTCAGAGGGTGACATCGCGGGGGGCAGGAGGAGGGTGTGAGGCCCACCGGAGGGAGGAGCAGTGCACGTGTATGCACATGTGCATGTACCCCACGCCCCAGCCCTCCAGCTTTCCGCCCTGGTAACACTGGCCATCAGGGGTGCACATGTGTGTCCCCAACCCCGTGCTGCGGTTCCCACAGAAATACACGGAAGACGTGCTGTCAGCCTTAGACCCCTCGCAGCCACCACCGCCGCCCCTGCAGCACTTCCTGGAACAGCCTGTGGAGCGGGTCCAGCAGTACCAGGCCCTGCTCAAGGTACAGGGCTGCCGCGTGGCCGCCCTCCCTGGCCTTGGTGGGCGGTCAGGCAGACGGGCGGGCGGTGGGGCTCGGGCCTGACGCCTTCTCCCCCAGGAGCTGATCCGCAACAAGGCGAGGAACAGGCAGAACTGCGCGCTGTTGGAGCAGGCGTATGCTGTGGTGTCGGCCCTGCCGCAGCGCGCTGAGAACCAACTGCACGTGTCGCTCATGGAGAACTACCCAGGCACCCTGCAGGCCCTGGGCGAGCCCATCCGCCAGGTGCTGGGCGCGGTGGAGGGCCTGGCGGGGCCACGTGGGTGGGGGGAATGGGGCACGGTGGAGGGCCTGGTGCGGGGCCATGTGGGTGCGGGGTGTGAGGTGCTGTGGAGGGCCTGGGCAGGGCCATCGGGTGCGGGGTGTGGGGCATGGTGGAGGGCCTGACAGGGCCATGTGGGCGCCGGGTGCAGGGCAGGGTGGAGGGCCTGATGGGGCCACATGGATGCGGGGTAGAGGACATGGTGGAGGGCCTGGAGGAGCTATGTGGGTGCTGGGTGCTGGGCGCGGTGGAGGGCCTGGGCGGGGCCATGTGGGCGCTAGGTACCGAGCTGACTGAGAGCCAAATGCTCCCCAGGGCCACTTCATCGTGTGGGAGGGGGCGCCGGGCGCACGGATGCCCTGGAAGGGCCACCATCGGCATGTCTTCCTGTTCCGCCACCACCTGGTGGTCTGCAAGCCCAGACGGGATTCCCGCACCGACACCTTCAGCTATGTCTTCCGGAACATGATGAAGGTTTGTGGGTGCCCATGGAGCCCAAGTGGGGCAGAGGGGGTGCCGGCTGGGCAGGGAGTGTGGAGTCCTGCTTCCAGACAGTCAGTTTGCATCCCGCCTCCCCCCACAGCTGAGCAGCATCGACCTGAATGACCAGGTGGAGGGTGACGACCGCGCCTTCGAGGTTTGGCACGAGCGAGAGGACTCTGTGCGCAAGTATCTGCTGCAGGCACGGACGGTCATCACCAAGAATTCCTGGGTGAAGGAGATCTGCGGCATCCAGCAGCGCCTGGCCCTGCCCATGTGGCGTGAGTGTCCTGGCCATGGCAGTGCTGCCAGATTGGGAGCCTGAGCCTGACCTGAGTACAGGAAGCCTCGGGGTTCACACAGCCCCCCACCCCAGCACAAGACAGGCACCCAGACTGTTAGGGACGTGAAGGAACTGGTAACCCCAGGTCGGCTTCCCCACCTAGGACAGGAGAGAGGATCCCCTTTCTCCGCGGTTCTTTGTTACCCATCCAGCTTGCCTCACTCACCCTGACTCCCATTGGACCCAGGTCCTGGATGGAAGGTCACAAGGGGTGGTGTCCATAACAATCTCACTCTTTGACCTTGAGGCTTCTGGCTGTGCCAGGGATGCACCAAGGACTTGGGAGGGGGGGCTATCCCACCCACCAAGAGCTCAAAGCCTGTGTGTGTGTTGTGTGTGTGTGTGTGTGTGTGTGCACGCGTGCACCTAGAACCCCCAGATTTCGAAGAGGAGCTGGCAGACTGCACAGCCGAGCTGGGTGAGACTGTCAAGCTGGCCTGCCGTGTGATAGGCACACCCAAGCCCATCGTCAGCTGGTACAAAGGTAGGCCCCTGGGGCTCAAGGGATGTTGATCCTGCACCAGGAAGAGGCGCTGGGAGGGAATCCATCCCGGGCAGGGGCTGGGGAATGAGGGGCGGCCTGCTGGGGGGCTGGGCACAATCACCACCAGCCTGGGTGGGTGCGTGGGTGGACGAGGTGGGACAGAGTCAGAGGGCGTGCACCCGTGATCCCGACACAGTGATCGTACCCACCCCAAACCCACTCCTTAGGTCTCCGAGGGCTCACACCCTGTCCCAGGTACCAGGCCCTGCCAAGGGGTGCTGGTCGTCTAGGGGAGGAGACAGATGGCAAACCAGGAGACAAACATGTGGCATGAAGGCGACACGGCCAGCTAGAGAAATGAGGCAGAGGGGGCAGCTGGCAGGCCTCCCTGGTGAACATTCAGGAGCTCTGGGTGGGCAACCAGGAGGCCAGGAGCAGGGAGAGGGCACTGAGGCTGGCTCTGTGGTCAGGGTCCCCAGGAATACCCCCATTCTGGCATCAGCTGCACTTTGGGGGTCTCTGGGAGCATCTCCACTTCTGACATTCTGGGGGTCCATGGGATCACCCCCACTTCTGACACCAGATGCAGCTTGGGGGTCCCTAGGACCACCCCCACTTCTGACACCAGATGCAGCTTGGGGGTCCCCGGGGACCACCCCCACTTCTGGCATCAGCTTCACTTTGGGGGTCCCCATGACCACCCCCACTTCTGACACTGGCTGTATTCTGGGGGTCCCCAGGGACCACCCCCACTTCTGGCATCAGTTGCACATTGGGGGTCCCCACGACCATCCCCACTTCTGACACCGGCTGTATTCTGGGGGCCCCCGGGACCAGCCCCACTTCTGGCATCAACTTCACTTTGGGGGGGTCACGACCAGCTTTGGATTCAATGAATCACCTGAAGGACTCACAGAACTCAGCAGAACATTCCGCTCAGGGTGTGCTTTATTGCAGGAAAGGGAAAAGCAACATGGGGAAGGGTCCCAGGGTCCCCCCACCCAGTGGTCATGCAGACTGCATGTTCCTCCCGCATGCATGCGTGGCAGCACTCAGTCTGGCCCTTTGGGGACATCCCTCTGAGCCTTGTGGCTTGTGGCCTTGTGTCCAGGGCCTCTGTTCGGGGTCACTCATGCAGGCACAGGTGACCTGTCACGGCCCCTGCAGAGGTCAAGCTAATGACATGTGACCTTCAGCCCCAGCCCTAAACCACAGTGTAGTACAGCCATCTGACATGGTCCAAGGCCCCCAGGTAAACTGAGACACTCTCACTGTGGGTCACTTGGGCTGGCAGACAGGTCTCCAGGTCCTCAGTTCAGTCTGAATAACCAAGTCCAGTCCCAGTTTTGGGGAGCTGTCCCAGGGTCAGGCCCTCGGGTTGAGCAGCCAGGGGCACTGGTTTGTCCTTCATGGCTGAGGATGGGGCTAGAGCGGATACTGGTGGTGTTGCTGGGACACAAGAGGGGCCTTCCCCGTGTCCTGCGGTCAGAGCCACAGGCTGAAGCTGGGGGACACAGGGACTGGTTCCCGTCAGCAGTTTGGGAGAGCGGCCCCAGGGTCGTCTTCTGGAGGGAGGCCCTGCAGCCACCTCGTCCTGGGGTCTGAGGAGGTCCATCCCCAGCTGCCTCCCCTGCACAGAACCTGGGAGGGTACCTGTCCATCCAGCTGTCCCCTCATGGCCAGACCTTTGACCTGTGAGGACGGGTTCATACCCTCCATCCTGGGAGGGACAGAGTGGTTCATACAGTTTCCTGGAAGCAAGAACGAACCCCTGGGGCCACCTGTTTTGGCCAGGCTGCCTCCAGGAGGGTGTGCTGGCCGGGGCCCACGTCCAAAGTGAAAGGGGGACGTGCTGCCCAGGAGTGGACAGTGAGTGCTCTGGAGGGGATAACTTGGCTGGGGATAGCTGTGTCCAGTGACCAGACTGCCTCCCCAAGGGGTGGATGGAGGAGGTGGGGGCAGCCACATGGTCAGCCCGTGTTGACACATGCTGTCACAATACACGCAGCGCACACAGTCATGTGGTAGGGACAGAGCTGCTGTGACCCAAAGCAGCGTCATGGCAGGAAACCCCACTGGTAGCTGACGGAGACACTGATTTGCCAGGATGGGGAGTCCGCCCCCAGCCTGGCCTCTGAGCGGTGTCCCATGCAAGAACCTCACCTCGTTCACCACCCCAAGGAGGGGTCTTCAACTGACTGGTCTGTAGCCTCTCAGGCTGTGTCTTTTGCAACAGTTTAAGGCTGGTGGGCACATAGCAGTCTTCACTGGGAAGAGCATCGCCAGTGTAGCCACACAGTTGGCCCTGAGCTCTGCCCATGGAACTGGGACCCGGCTCCCCGCCATGTGGCCTGGACCGCTGCTGCGCTCACTGCATAGCCTGGGTCTCCCCTGAGCTGGATGATGGGGCGGGGGAGGGGGAATTGGAGGGAAGGTCCCCTAGGAGGTTCTGTCCCAGTACCTGAGTCTGTAGGTGGGGGTCCCCTTTGTAGGCGTCGAAGAGGTAAAGGTTGGTTATTGCTATGGAGGAACTCAGCGTGGGGAGACTTCTGACTTGCCAGCCAGCAGAATGGCAGAATGTCATGGGTGGACGCTTCCCATGTTAGGAGCAGAGAGGGGCAAGTGCTGACCCACCCACAGGGGCCACATGCCCAGAATGGAGGGCCCCGGACACGAATCAGAGACCTCGCCTCGAGAATGCGGAGAGGTCCTGGTGCCTGCGTGCCTGAGGGTGGAAGAGCAGGATCCATTGCTCTGCACGGGGGATCCCCTTATACAGCAGCCTGTCTACACCTACTGGAGCCATAGGAGCAGTTGCCTTTGCCCAGCCACCTGCTCCCTCTGGTGGCTGCTGCCACCTCTGCGCTGGAGAGTCCACACTGGAATGTCCCCTCCCCACATTCCCTCTGGCCCGCGAACTGCATACCGCAAACATTGGGTCCAGAGGTAGAAGTTGCAGCCACAGAACTCTGACTTGGCCTCAAGGTGACATTCAAGTCCTGTGAGTGGATGCAGGTGCTGTGAACATCCTACCTCTCCCTGCCTGGGGTCTCTGGGCACAGGGGACCAAGGCTCACCTGTCAGGTCAGGGTGGAGGAGCAGGAAGACACAACACACTTCCACAGCTCAGTAATGTCCCGCGTTTGGGGCTCATCCAAAACTCCGTCTGGAGCAGCGTCTCTGCAAATACTGTTTTGGCTTCGGGGATGTTGACTTAGCAGCCACGTCACATCACCGTCTGAGGCTCTGTGCCCCTTGGTTGGCTGGGGACCCCCCGCAAGGTGGTGACCTTGCTGATGGGGCTCCTTCTGGCCCAGAGCAGCAGTCACATCCCCCAGCCTTTCTCAGGGCCACCTGTCAGAATGCTCCTATAGCCCTCCACTCACCTCCGCCTCCTCCAGCCTGTCACAACATTATGGATGCCACGCAGGTTCCGCCAGCCCACAGGATGGGCATCAAAGTCTCCCTGTGGGGACATGGCTCCTCTGCTGTCATCCGAAGGAGTCCTTCACAAACTTCCGGTGCCTGGCCTCCCAGCCCAGGTGCTGGCCCTCCTGCCTTCTGCCCATCCGGACTTGGTGACTGCACCCAGTATGGGCTCTCGTGTTTGTTAGGAAGCCAGTCAACGTCAGGCGTCAGGAGGGAGCGTATCAGCCAAAGCACCACCCAGAGATCTGCTTTTGACCCTGCTTCTCGGTGCCCAGACTGCAGCCTCCGGCCCCACGGCTCTTCCTCCACAGGCCACGGCGGTGGCGGGGGTGGGGGGGGTGGGGAAGGGGCGGGGGGTGGTTTCCTGCCCAGTGGACCTCGTGCTGTCTGCCACCGACTCCACAGACCTGTCATGGGTCCTGTTACCTGGCCCAGTGGGGCCTTCTGTTTATCTTCCTCCTCCTCTCGCTTCTGGAACACCTCGTCCCTGACCGTGTCCCTTCTTGTCACCGAAGCATGAAGGGTCTGGGGTGTTTCCCCACTTGGAAACCACGAGGCCAGCCAGATACAGATAGAAAACAAGGCCTTCTGGCTGGAGCCGCATATGCCAGTCCCCACGTTTGGGGGCCAGATGTTAGCTGCAGGCAGTGGGTTGCCCCCCCAGTGGAGAAACCTCAGGTTTTAGGAGACGCTGGACTTCTATGGGGCTGCTAGCAGGCCTGCCTGTGTCCTCTTCCCCAAAGTGACTGGGTCACTTGACGTGGCTTAAAAACAGTTGGCACGGGTTCCTCTGAGTTAGGGGTCACGATGCTGCTTATGAACTGTTATTTAAACAGCCTCATTCAGCACATACAAGGTCCCCTGTGAAGTTTTAGGTATTTGTGGAGGACACAGTTCCTTGCGGGGGGGGGAAAGATGCACCTCTCCTGGCCTCCACGCAGGGGAGAATCGCATGATGGCTGGAGACATTCAGTTGGGTAGTGATGAGGGACATGGGCAGTGTCTGAGCATGTCTATTGGGTGGGGTCCCGGGGAGTAACGGAATCAATGGGCAGATGAGTGAAGGTCTGTGTGCCAGAATGAGACATCGTCTGTTGGGGCCAGGTCCCTCTTCCCGGCCCCTACCTCCAGCAAGGAGCCTACTTTGCAAGGCTGCACAGGGGACATGGAGGTCTGGGGAAGGAAATGGCACTCTGGGTCAGCTTGGCCAGCCAGGCTCCCCGCCAGGGGTCCATGCTCCAGAAGTGCTCCTCCATCGCTGCCCCATGACTGCAACCCCCCAGGCAGGCCAGCCTCCTGTCCCCAGCAGGGTCCCCTCCGTGACAGCCCTGCCTTCCTTTCCAGACGGGAAGCCAGTGGAAGTGGACCCTCACCACATCCTCATCGAGGACCCCGATGGCTCATGTGCCCTCATTCTGGACAACCTGACTGGCGTGGACTCCGGCCAGTACATGTGCTTCGCGGCCAGTGCTGCTGGCAATGCCAGCACCCTAGGCAAGATACTGGTGCAAGGTGAGCCCTAGGAGGGAGGCTGGGGTGTGGGGCATCTGGACCCTGCTCTACCTTGGGGACTCAATGGGGGGCACAGGCCTGCGGGTGGGGCTGATGGTGGCCATGTGGATTCCGACCACATCTGGGGAACTCACTGGTGGAGTAGGGTCCCTCTCCATCATGGTGTCTCTCTCTATATCTCTTCCCCTTCCACCACTCGGTGGCCCCACAGTACCCCCACGGTTTGTGAAAAAGGTCCGGGCAGTGCCCTTTGTGGAGGGAGAGGACGTTCAGGTCACCTGTACCATCGAAGGTGCCCCACACCCCCAGATCAGGTAGGCCAGGCAGTGTGGGGGCTGGGACAGGGTCTGCTGGATGATGGCAAAGTGTGGGTGGGCTCCATGTGCAAGCCCAGACTGCAGGGGGGGGGGGCGAGAGGAGGGTCTCAAGTCGGGGAGGCTGGGGTGGCTCTGCCTCACACTGTAGGGTTGGCCATAGGTGGTACAAGGACGGGGCCCTGCTGACACCCAGCGGCAAATACCGAACGCTGAACGAGCCCCGCAGTGGCCTGCTGGTGTTGGAGATCTTGGCGGCCAACAAGGAGGACCTGGGCCACTATGAGTGCGAGGTGACATGGGCAGACATAAGGGCAGCTGAGGGGACTAGCTTGGGGCCTCCCATCACCCAGTGTCCCTGATGAGGGAGGGACCCTGGCTCCCCATCACCCAGTGTCCCTGAACCATGATGAGGGAGGGACCACAGCCCCCTATCACCCAGTGTCCCTGATGAGGGAGGGACCCCGACCCACCATCACCCAGTGCCCCTGAACCATGATGAGGACAGAACCCTAGCCCCCCATTACCCAGTGCCCTGATGATGGAGCGATCCCTGGCCCACGATCACCCAGTATCCCCAGTGAAGGAGGGGATCTCTGGCCCACCATCCAGTGTCCATGACAGGGGACAGGGACCCAGATGGGAACCCTGGGTGGCATCCTCTTTTCTCCCAAAGCCACTTGCCCACCTGCAGGGCCAGGGGTGGTCTGTGGATGGTGTGTGCAGGCTGTGGCTCTTCCTGGCTACAAGCCCCCTCTGTGTGGCTGCTGTTGGCAGCCTAGGTGGGGCCTGGCCCCTATGGAGGTTCCTGTGGGAACACACAGACCTGAGCCGGCTCCGGACCCATACTGTCTGATTCAGTCACTACTGGCCACATGCAATTTGAATTGAAATCAATAAGTTACCTGTAGGTAAAGATTCGGTTCCATGCACGTGCTTGGGCCCATATTGGCCACCACACTGAAGTGTGTAGACAGTGTCCCCAGTGCCTAGGAAACCCTGGGCAATGCTGGGTCTGTGTGGGAACCCTTTCTTTGGTGATAGGCTCTATGCCTCTGGGACACAGCCAGGGAGGGCCCCCACTACAAACGACCTGCATGGTCCCCAGGGAGCTGCAGGCTCTAAGCAGGCTCCTGCCATCTGCCCTGCAGTTGGTGAACCGGCTGGGCTCTGCGAGGGGCGGGGCAGAGCTGTGCATGCAGAGCCCAGCTGTGCGAGCCCGGGAACAACGTCGCAGAGAGCAGCTTGCAGCTGTGGAAGGTGAGTGCTGTGGGGCTGGGTTGGGGGAAACTACCAGCTTTTCCAATCAAGGTGTGCTTCTTGGAGGAGGGGCAGTGAGGGCCAAGGAGGGGTCTGGCTGGGAGAGGAGGGGATGCAGAGGCCATGGAGCAAGGGCTGGGTCCCAGCGCCCTACTGGGGCAGCATGAGGTGAGCCATGAGCCCAGAGCTTCAGCAAGGCTGAAGGGCTGCCCTGGGGGTGGCATCTTCCTCACCATCTCTGGGGCAGTAATGAGTGCATAGAAAGGTCCTATCTGGGCCAGGCAGGCTGCTGGACAGTAGCCAGCCAGGCCTCGTGATAGCTGGCATCAACATTAGGTAGGACAGCTTTGCCGTGTGCAGAGCACAGGGCTGCCGGGTCTCAGCTTGGCTCCCAGGAGAGGGAGTGGTGTTGGGGTTGTGTTGTTCATGGGAAAAACAGAATGCCGTGGCTCTGCCTCCGTAACCTGGCTGGGGGTGGCCCCTGGGGTCCTGGGATGTGTCTCACTAGGGGGAGATGTGCTTTGGGGTGGGAGGTGAAGGGTGGGCGGCAGGGCACCTCACGCCTCCACTCATACCTGGGTCCAAGATCCCAGCTGGGCCCAGCCCAAGAATGGCTGGGATGGGGAGGGTGGCAACTGGAATCTGTTCTGGGCCTGCTCAGTCCCAGAGAGCAGCCTGATGGGGCAGGGTGCAGCCCCAGGGACAGCTTCTCCCAGTGCAAGTATCCCCACCTGTAAGGTGGTAAGTCTTCTGTTCCTGGAGGCATACAAGCAGAGGCTTGACTAATACCTGGTGGAGCTTCAGCTCCCACAGTAGGAAGGGCTGGAATACATGTTCTCCCAACTTCTGAATGTTGGCTTCTGTGATGCCTTGGGCTACTGGATCCAGTCCTTCCTGGGGCCCCATGCCTGGGCGCCTCTATCTAGACCCTCCTACAGTCAGCCTACTTGGCACCTGAATTTTGGCCTCACAGCCTTTGAGACCCTCCACAGCCATCACAGAGAGGGCAGGGGTCCTTGTTCCTGCCCCCCAGAGGATCCTGTGATGTCTGCAGGCACCTGCACTTCCCGCAGTGTAGCATCTTATGTAGGGGGGGTGCTGCATAGGGACTTCAGTGCTCCCTCTCAGGCTGGCAACAAGCATGTCCTACAGAGGCATTCACTTCATTGTCATGATGGGTCACTTTCTGTCAACGTCCGACGGCTGTGGAGTCTGGAAGAGGGGCAGCCTCCTGGTGCCTCACATCCAAGAAGGCGGGTTCTCACAAACCCAGGATTGGAGCCCAGCGCCTACCGCTTCCTAACCCTATCCTGCCGCTTCATCTTTAACCTGGTGGCTCTATGGCCAGCACGGCCCTGGCCAGCCTTGTGGGGTGGGTGCTGCCCCCTCGCTTGTGGAACCGCACTGGGCCAGGAGCCTTGCTTCGCACGGCTGCACCTCTCCAATAGCTGCCAGTACTCACTGGAGCTTAGGGCCCATCAGGTGCCTGGCCAGTTCAGGAACAAAAGCACCAGGCAGCCAAGACATGTCCTGACTACCACCCCATAGAGCAGCAGGAGGGGACCCCAGTCATGGGGGGGGGGTGAGGAGAGGAGTTCTGCACACAGGGTCCAGTCTGCAGGTGGCAAACAGGCTGGCTCTCTCTGGCCCCAACTTAATCCTCACACACAGGGCATGTTGGTGCATTCCATTCTCTCTCCCAGGGGGCTTCCCTCTCCAGGAGGCAGTTAGCACAAACACGCACATGTACATACATACATGCATGTGTGCATGCACATGCTTGTGTGCACACATATACACAAATAAATGAGGCTCCCAAGGGCCATACGGATACAGCTGGTACATTTAATTCATGTGCATCCAATTGGAGACAAGTTTAAAATACTCTTGGTCATCTAAAAGGAAAATCCTTTTTCTATATGGCACTGTAGCAAAGCCTGAAATCCCACACATGAAGCCAGGGTGCTGTGTGCCCCAGGCCATGCCACTTGACTTTTTTGAGCATCCCACTCAGCTTTGTCCCTAGAATGGCAAAAGGGACTGTTGAGACCTAAGGGTACTGGTAGCCGCTGACTGCCTGCTGTCCAGCAGGGTGTGGTTGGGAGGGGGCATCTCTGTGGCAAACCTGGCCCTTCCCAGAAGTTGCAGAGGAAGAGACCTTGAGACAGGTTGGAATAGGTGCTGCGTGGTCCCAGATGAGTCCTATCCTGTCTCTGGTACTCTGATCCTCCATCTGCTGGCTCCAGAGGGGTAGAAAGGTAGGGTAATCAAGGCAGTTGAATTTGTAGGTAGCTTCTATGGGAAGACCTAAATTTCTCTACTCACTTAGAGCTCAGGACCCTGTCCAGGCATTTCTGGTTGCTCCTGATGGGATTTTCATGGCCTCATGCTACAAAGCTCATATATGCCACCTCCCTGGAGAGATGCCTTTATTCTTTAGGAATTTTTATAAAACAGGGACCAGCCATCCCAGTCGCAGTTTGATTCCCATGAGCCATTCCTTTCCCCACGCCTAGCCTTCAGTTTTTGTCTGAGCAGTGGGACCTTAGGTTTGACAAAATCACAGGGCTCCCTGGCACATGAGCTGAAGAAAGAGCTGGAATTTCTGTGTGGACTGCCCAGATGGGGCCCCTACTCTTGCTACGGTCCCTGAAAGACCCTCATTTCCTCATGTTAGACACATTTGATGTTCTACTTCCTTATCCCCCAGACACTCAAAGAAGGCTCTGTCATCTCCATTTCAAAGATGACAACTGGGGCTTCAAGCTGAGACAGATAGGCCAGGCAGGGCTTGGATCCAGTGCTCCTAAGCCGAGCAGGTTACTACACTGCCATGCCATTCAAACAGCTCAGCTCCTGAGCGCTGGCTGATCTGTAACCCTGGCTATTCCGACTGTTTTCTTTGTAGTCACTGAGCAGGAGACTAAAGTCCCCAAGAAAACCATCATCATGTAAGTGCAGGCGTGTTCCTAACTTTCCTTCTGACTGCAGTGCCCCCTGCATGCCCACTAACCCACCTGGACCTTGCCTGTGTGGCCTGGCCACCTGCTTGTCTGACTACCTGCCCATATGGCTTTTGCTCACCACGCAGACTGCCAGCACTTTGCAGAAGCTCCAGAGGGGACCCACATTCCCCTGGGGTCTTGACTAACTTCACACTTCACAGCTCTCTCTTACAGGGCCTCCATGGCTCCATTGCTTCCGCAGGGTAGACTTACTCTGTATACTTCACAGCAGTACACCCAGCTTGGACCCAGAATCACACCAGTTAGTTTGGAGCCGGGACTGAGAGCTGTTTCCCACGGTGGGCCAGAGGCAGAATTCTACTCAAAACCCTAGAATCTAGGACATTTCTGTCCAACAGAGCTTTCTGTGATGTTGGAAGTATTCTCTATGTTGCACACTACAAGAGCATCCACTAGCCATATGTGGCTGCCAAGTATTTCAAATGTGTCAAGTGTAACTGAAGAACTGAATGCTAGATTTTAGTTATTCTCATTAACTTGCATTTAATTAAAATAGTGTAACCCTAGTGGGCAGCACAGCTCTAGGTCCCTTACATGTCTCCAAGCCCAACCCTAGCCTTAGGGAGATGGGGAAACTCACGTTCAGGGAAGAGGCTTGCTCAGGGTGTCTCATGATTGGAAGCCAACGGATAACCCATTTCCCCGGTGCCACGCCCGCCATCCCTTTCTTTGGTGCCTTCAAGGCTGGGGTTGTTGCTACTTAAATTACACAAGAGGTTTGGAGCTGAGTGAAACCACAGAAGGAAGAATTGGTTTTGACCTGGATGATCGGGAGGACTTCCACTAGAGGGTGTGTGCAGGTGGAGATTGTGGAAAAGCTTGCAAAAGCCAGGAGGCAAGAAAAACTGGTCTAAGACCAGATGGCTGGGAAACTCTGGTTAGTCCCCATGGACCTATGACCTCCTCAAGGGGCCTGAAGTTGTCCAAGTTATGGAGAATCTTATCATCAGACATTTGGTCAGATCCTGGGTTAACCCTTCCTCGACTTCCTCCCTCCTCCCCCAAGGCACATTGCTGCCCCACAATACATGGGGTAGTAGTAAGTACCCCATCCCTGGAGCTATGCGACTGTGTCTGAGCTTTATACAGATTAACTCTATGTTTCATCCATGAAAGGAGCATCTCTATTATTTACATCTTATGGATGGCTCCTGCTCTCTGAGGGCTCACTGGGGTAACCCACATGATATAAAGCATAAGGCACTGGTGGGATGGACAAGGAAGCCCATATGGCTATGTCCCTGCATACCTTCCCATTAACTGCACAAAGAGCACTGGGATCTCCGAAGTGAGATGGTCATAAATGGAGGAGAGACTAGCACACAGAGACATTGTAAACCAGTCTCAGTCTGGGGTTTTGAGGCACCTTGTAATGTGGAATGGCCCTCCCCTGATGCCTCAACTCTTGTTTTGAGATATGCACGCTAGAGTTTGAGGTTAGCCAGATGGGGCTTTGTGCTTTGTTTCTTTGGTTCTCTGTAGGTTCCAGAGGTTGGGCTCAAGGACATGTGTAGGAGTTTGTGCAGTGTCACCACTTGCTTGTGAGGACACTAACCCAATCACTCATGTGGCCCCTGCATGTGCTGATGGTGTGGGCACTGAGCAAGGCTGCAGGTCTCTGTGCCCATTTCCTCTTGGCCCTCTCCCCGCAGAGAGGAGACCATCACCACCGTGGTGAAGAGCCCCCGTGGCCGGCGCCGGTCCCCCAACAAGTCCCCTTCCCGCTCGCCTTCTCGCCGCACTGCCAGCCCACCCAGGCCAGGCCAGTTGGCCCCCGAGGTGCTCTACTCACTGGGGGCCAGCCAGCCTCGAAAGCCTGAGGTGGAGCCAGGCTGGAGGCCCACTGTGCCCATGCTGTACGTGACGGAGCCTGAGTCCCACACACCGGCCCTGCCCCAGGGCACGAGGCCCCAACCCAAGTGGGTAGAGGTTGAGGAGACTATTGAAGTCCAGGTGAAGAAGACGGGCTCCAGGGGTGCATCTCCTGCCAGAGAGGCACCCGACAGCTCCACAGGGCTCCTCTTCACGATGTCAGGTGGGACACCCACAGGAGACCCCAATGCAAATAATTCCAACAACAAGTTACTGGCTCAGGAGCCCCAGGCCCAGGGCAGAACCATAGTCAGTGCTGGAGAGCCTCTCACCTTCTGCATGGACGCTGGGCCAGAGGAGACCCCTGAGCCTTTCCCTCCCCAAGCAACTGAAGAAGAGGCTCCCCTGGAGGAGATGGAGGAAGGAGGTGCCCTCCTGACAGAGGAGCCTCAGGGCACCAACAGCCTTTGGAGCCGTGACCCCAAGGTCCTCACACACGACGGCCGAGTGCTGACGCTGGCTGACCTGGAGGATTACGTGCCCCGGGAGGGGGAGACCTTCGGCTGTCATGGCCCAGTGCCCAGCACTTCTGATGACCCACCCTGCGAGGTCTCTGTGCTTCAGAGAGAGATCAGTGAGCCCACTGTGGGGCGGCCTGTCCTGCTCAATGTGGGGCGTCCCCTGGGCCCACGAGGCCCATCCAGCTTTTTCAGTCACCGGGAAGTGTCTCCGTCAGGGCCTCAAGTCCTTGGCCCCAGTGGAGTCTCCTTCTGTGTGCAGGAGGTGCGGGCTGGGGGTGCTACCTCCTGGAAGCCGTCCTTCTGCACCCAGGTCCAGCGGTCTGCAGACAGTGGCCAGAGCAGCTTCAAAACAGAGGTTTCCACCCAGACAGTCAGCTTTGGGACAGTGGGTGAGACGGTCACTCTGCACATCCACCCAGATGGGGACAAGGCCCCCAGCCCCTCCCAGGGTTGAGGCCATAAGCGTCAGGGGCTTGGCTGTCAGGCACCCTGATGTAGCCAGTGTGGCTGTGTGGAGGAAGCCAGTGCCCCATGGATATGTGTGCTCTGATCCTCCCCTCCACTCTCCAAGAACTCAGGGCTGGAGCCTGCCTGCCCCTTCTACCCCAGGCACTTGCTACCTCACAAGGCCTGGTCTGGCTGAGGACACTGCACACAGATCTGGAGTCTCAGAAAGTACAGAAGCCTCTGAAGAGTACAGGCTGGAGAGACTCATGGAATGCAGCTCTGGGCTCAGGGCTCTAGACATAAGTCAGGGACACTGTATCTGTCTGGCCATGTTCACAAGGCCGGGATGTCAGGTTTGTCCTGTCTGCTCCAGGCTAGGGTCCTGGTCTTCCTCTCAGGTGGGGGCTCCCCAGCCGCATCTTCACCATGAACATTTGTCTTGGCCTCTGGGAGGCCTGTGCGGGGCACAGCCCTGCAGGCCCTCCTGAGCCTTTCTGCAGGGTGGACCAGGGTCTGTGCATGGGAAGTGGCCCATCAGATGGCCCCAATGATGATAATAAACTGGTTCCCTGCACTGTGTCTTCTCTGCTTTCTTGCTTCTCTGCCTGGTGGCTCCGGCGACTTGTTGGGGAGGGCCTTCTATGTCTGGTCCTGGGGACCACCAGTAGCAGCCCTTGGTGGGCACCTGACACCAGCCTGTGGGTTCTGGCCCATCCTAGGGTCCCTTGGTGGAGGCGTGACAGCTCGCCGGTGTAGCTTGCTCACACAGGCTGTGTGGCTGGTGACAGGTGCTACCTTGTGACAAGACTAGTGGTCATTCCCAGCCCTCTGGAGGCTGAGCAGCCCTCCCTGCCATCTGTGCTGGGGGGGTTGTTGGTGAGATGGGCACAGAGGTTGTGATGTGTTTGGGGTCTGTTGACCTCCTTGGACTGGGGAAGGATGAGACGCATGTCCCAGTGCCATTGAGGGCACACAGACAGCAGACTGACTAGTCGCTTCTCCAGCTTGGAGGGTCTGAGGATACAGAAGATGAACAAGAGAAAAAGTCTGGGGTGAGGGGAGAGCTCCAGGCGGGGGGACCTGCTGGGAATGGAGTGGTAGGCATCCCTGGGCATGTGTGAGGCTGTGGTGTGACCATAGGAAGAATGGCACCAGGAGCTAGAGGCAGGGAGGCAACAAGGATACAGTGGCCTCAGTGGGGCTAGGCTGCAGGTGGAGGGGAGGCCGCTGCCATGCATGGCTGGCCTGGGAGGGCAGGAAGGACCCCTTGGCCCCTGACAACATCAGGCTGTTCCCAGGCTTCCCTAGAGTGTGGGGCTGGGTTACCTTGGGCCTGGGTGGCCCAGTACCCTGGGGTCTGGAGTGGACCATGGTGTGGAGGTCAGTCCCAGGGTGAAGGTATGGGATGAACTGAGACTGAGGGGCAGGACCAAGACAGGGCAGGTGTCCAGACCCACCTGTGCCCAGAGGAGCCCCCATGTTTTCAAAAGTCCTGGGCTCACTGCCTTGAGTGTGTGGTGGGTCAGATTGGTGGGAAGGGCAGCTTGGAGTCAGCTCACTGGGGCAGCCTCTGAGGACTGGGACAAGGTTTCTGGCGCCCTCTTCTTGGGCCCAGGCCACGCCTCACCCCTACACGCTGACCCGCCTCTCCCACAGATGCTGCTGCCCCTCCCCCAGTTGCCCTGGAGCCAGCAGACAAGGAGATCACGTCTGTTCCAAGGATGCTGGTGTGCCCCGAGGCTCCAGGACCCTCCACAGGGGACCACGCTGGCCCCATCCCTGGCCCTGGGGGGCCACCCAAACACCAGGAGGCTGGCCCCAAACTCCTAGGCACGGAGGTTGCAGATGCATCTGGTGAGGCCCAGTGGCCTCAGGCTGACCACAAAGTGCCACCTGCTCTCAGGGTCCCCCCTATGCTGGCTTCAACCTTGGCCACCCCAGGTATCCATCCTATTCAGGTGAATGGGAAGAGCCCTGGGGACCCTGACATCCCAATGGCCCCATGCACTGGGGGACCTGGACAAGGCCCAGGTTAGCTCAGCCTCAGGCTCCCCAACTGTGAAGCTATAGGCAGGAGGTGGGTGCTGGGAGGTTCTTCCCACCCTGAGTACATCTGTCCTGGAAGCCAGAGGCTTTGGTGGTTAGCCTTGGGCACAGAGCCTGAGTGCCCTGTGCTTCTGGGTAGGTGAGAAGGAGCGGGGGAGGAGGGGGGGAAGAGGAGGAGTGGGAGGAGGGAGGAGAAGAAAAAGGAGAGAGGAGGAGGTGAGGGAGGAGATGGAGAGGAGGAGGGAGGGGGAAGAAGAAGAGAGAGGAGGAAGAAGGAAGAAGAGAGAAGAGAGAGGAGGAGATGGAGGAGGGAGGAAGGGGGAGGAGGAGGGAGGAAGAGAGAGGAGGGGAGGGAGGAGGAGGATGAAGGAAAGGGGGAATAGGGAAGAAGAGGGATGAGAGGGAGGAAGAGGAGTAAGGAGGAAGAGGAGGGAGAAAAGAAAGGAGGTGAGGGAGGAGGAGAGGGAGGAGAAGGAGGAAGAAAGGAGGAGGAGGGAGAGGGAGGAGGAACGAGAGGAGAGGTAGACCCCCTCACCACCACCCTGGCCTGATGAGACCCCCCCAGGGATGCTGCCTTGGGGCCCCTCCCCCCCAGAAGCTGCTGCACCTGGCTGTCAGAATGGCCCTTGTCTGGGTAGCTGGGACCCTGTTGCGTGGCTGCTGGGCCAGGCCAGAAGCTAGGACAGGAAGGTGCATTGGCTCCTGGGCTCTGCAGGGAGGTCAGGACCCCTGGGTTTTGAGGAGGGTAGTCCCTGTCTGTTCTTACCCACAGGGGCCCTGCGCTCCCACAGTCCCTCCTCCGCCTTGTGCTCCCACCCTCTGGGCCTGCAGGATGACATGGGGACACATAGTGAGGGGCAGTCCCAGCTCCATCCCAAGCTCCCTCTCACTAAGTCCCTGTCTCCTACCAGCTGAGCCTCAGAAGGTGCCAGAGCCTCTTCCCCAGGAGGGCCAGGAGCAGGACTTGGGGGCCCATGCTGAGGCCCAGGGACGCACTGTGCCCATCCGGTAACCTCCTTGGCGTGCTGGGTGGGGGTAGTTCATGAGGGGACATCCCAGGGTCAGGGCACAGAGGAGAGACTGCTCTCAGGGTGAGGGGTGGAGCCCTCGCCTCACCCGGGGCTGGGTCTCCTCTTTGTGCATCCCCTAAAAGTCTGCTGTAGTGCGGGGGGTGGGGGGCAGAGCTGCCCACACTCCAGGGGTGTAGGAGAAGAGCAGACACTCATCCAGCTCCATGACCACAGGATGGAGGGTACAGCCTGGCCGGGAGCAGGAGCAGTGGACCTATGGGACATCCACAGCCAGGTGTTCATGGAGACCACGCATCGGACATACGTGTACCAGGCCAGCGACACGGGTGCCACAAGTAGGCGGGGGCTTAGTGGGTCATGTCTGTGTGTGCTCCCAGTGCCCTGGACCGGGGGAGGGACGCTTGTGCAGAGGAACCTGCAGATCCACCTGGCCTGTCCCAGCCTTGCTGGGGCGGGGTAGGTGTGGGGAGCTCTCTGCCCCTGTGTCCCCCCAGGGAGAGGTGAGGGCTGTCACCTGGGAGGGTTGAGGGGCTGAAGGTAGTGAACTGTTTGCTGGGGGCCACCTTCTCCAGCAGGCGTCGACATGCTCTGCACACCCTGCCCTTGGACAGCTAGGAGAGACAGAGGCTCGTGGGAAGGAGGCACTTCCTGACCATCAGGGGCCTGGGCAGAGTCAGGAGGGGGGCGCCCCCATTAGGGAGGCAGGTGGGCTCTTGTTGCCCCAGGGTGTATCACAAGGCTTGGGGGTATCAGGACAGGCGTGGGTGGGTGGTCAATGCTGGCCCACTATAGGGGGGCAGTCTCTGACTGCAAGGCCCAGCTCCAAGACTCAATGTGGGCTGAGGACACAGCCTGGACCTCTCTCCATGGGCTCCCTCCTGCACCCCAGGGCCCCCATCCATGCAGGTCACCATCGAAGACGTGCAGGCACAGAGGGGCAGCACCGCGCAGTTCCAAGCAGTCATCGAGGGCAACCCGCAGCCCACAGTGACCTGGTACCGGGTAGGGACAGGCACCGGGCTGGGGGCCGGGACTGGCGAGTGTGTAGCATTCCCACCCACCAGCAAAGCACTCGCAGTAGGGCGGGGGTGGAATACAGTCCATCCCCAGGTTGGGCTGACAGCCGCCCCGCCCGCCTGTGCCCCCAGGATGATGCCCAGGTAGTGGGCGGACCCCGGCTCAGCCAGCATCGGGAAGGGACTACCTACTCCCTGGTGCTAAGGGACGTGACCCAGCAGGACGCAGGCGTCTACACCTGCCTGGCCCAAAACGCTGGTGGCCAGGTGCTGTGTAAAGCGGAGCTGGTGGTCCTCGGGGGTGAGTCCGGGGAACACTCCTCGAGGGCATGTGACGGGTGTGGTCTGCAGCCTCCCTCAGGCTCCGGCATAGTCCGTCCAGCACAGAGACGCTCCAGTTGGGGGTAAGTGGACATAGTTACACCTACGACTCCCGTTCTTCGACTACAGGAGACAGCGAGCCTGACATTGAGAAGCAAAGCTATCGAAGGAAGCTGCACTCCTTCTATGAGGTCAAGGAGGAAATTGGAAGGTATTGTCCACAAACGCAGCCCCAGGAGAGGGCCGCTCCTCGACACCCCCGCGACCCAGAGCCCCTTCCCCCCACTCTCCGCCCTGGGAGCCCCTAGCACCTCCTGGAACCCCTGCGTCCCGCGGACCCCTGAATCCCTGGAACTCCATCCCTCAGCCCCCGCCTCCCAGAGCTCTTTCCTCCCAATCTCCGCCCCCGGAACCCCTGGATCCTGGAAACCCTGCGACCCGGGAACCCCTGCGCCCCAGGAACCCCGCCCACCACGGAGCACCTGCCTTCTCCCCCAGGAGCCCCCAGCACCCCTGGAACCCTTGGTCCCCGGGGACCCTTGCGTCCCCTGAACTCCGCCCCTCCACCTCCACCTCCCAGAGCCCCTTCCTTCAAGTCCCCGCCCCCAACCCCCCCGGGAGCCCCAGCTTCCCGGGACCCCGCCCCCACGGAGCACCAGCTTTCTCCAGGGAGCCGCCAGTATCCCCTGGAACCCCTGCGCCTCGGGACCCCGCCGTCCACGAAGCACCCTCTTTCCCGCCCCCCTGTTCTCCGGAAATTCCGCCTCTCAGGAGCTCCACCCCTCCCGCTGACCCAACGGCACGGGCACCCCCACCCAGAACCCAGTCCCCCAGAAACCTCCTTCCCTGGAGGACCCTTGTGACCACAGCTCTCCGGAACTCCACCGCTCCTCCAACCCCGTCCTGGGGAACCGGCGCGCGCCCCCAGCGTGGCTCCCCTCCTCCCAGGGGCGTGTTCGGCTTCGTGAAGAGGGTGCAGCACAAGGGAAACCAGATGTTCTGCGCGGCCAAGTTCATCCCCCTGCGGAGCAGGACGCGCACCCAGGCGTACCGCGAGAGGGACATCCTGGCCACGCTCAGCCACCCACTGGTCACAGGGCTGCTTGACCAGTTTGAGACCCGGAAGACCCTGATCCTTGTCCTGGAGCTGTATCCCACAGCCAGGCCAGAGGCCAAGGAAAGGGGCGCCCACGCAGACCCTTGGCAGGCATAGGTCCCAGGGCCCCAGTAGGGCCTGTTCTGCTATTCCTGGACACAGCCCTGGTCTTGTAGCTCGCGGTCCCCTGGCTCAGGAATTTTGGCAGAGCTGTGTCACAGGGTCCAAGACAAGCCCTCACTGGGCCATCCCCAGCTAATGCTGAGGGTCCTCAGGCAGCCCACCCGAGCTCCAGGGAGGGGTGCACATGCCCTACTCACCCCTCCCACTCTGCTGCTGTCCGCTGACCTTGGCCCCCCTCCTTGGGGTCCCTGTCCCTCCCACCCTCCACAGTCTGAGCACCAACCCCCACCCCAAGATAGGAGGTGTGTGTGGGGCCAGGTGGGTTCCAGACTCCAGAGCTTTCCTTGACCTGAGCCCCAGGTGCTCCTCAGAGGAGCTGCTGGACCGGCTGTTCAAGAAGAGTGTGGTGACTGAGGCTGAGGTAACTGCACAGTGTCCTGTTTTCCCTGGCCACACCCAGCACACCCCAGCTTGGAAACCTTCTGGGGTTCCCCCGGGCCTCATGGGGTGTGGCAGTTCCTCAGTAGGGCTCTCTAAGCCCTTCCATGCACCCCCCTTCCCCGGGGGGGGCCACTGCTTTCCTCTCCCAGTCACCACCTGGCTGGTGGGGCCCTCCCTCCTGAGACACCAGGTGCTTCCGGCTTTAGTCAGGCCCATCTGCTTTCCGGGCTGGAGGAATCCTCTGGCCTTGGGCTCTGGGAGGCTTTGCGCACCACCTGCCCTGTGGGATCCGTGCCCAGCTCAGATCTGGGGGCGAGTGGAGCAGTAGGTGGAGGATGGACCTCCTCTGAGCCCTGGCCTCGGTTCCAGGTCAAGGTGTACATCCAGCAGCTGGCAGAAGGGCTGCATTATCTGCACGGCCAGAGCATTCTCCATTTGGACATAAAGGTGCTTGACCTTCTTGGGGCCCCGCAGGGACCAGGGAGGGACCCTGAACATGGGGGGGCGGGTAGATGCAAGTCTAGCACTTCCAGACTCTCTGGGGATGCAGAGTGATATCAGGTGGGGTACAGCTCGGATGAACTGGAAGCTGTCCCCAAATAGCACTAAAACCTACCCCAAGACTGCCCACTGTCCCACCAGCATCACCGTTGCCTTGGGAAAGCCCTTCACAGACCCCTGTGTGTTCCCTGCGGCCCTGGGAGCCCCCTCCTTAGGGCATGGCCTCCCCTCTCCCTGACTGTGTCTCACAGCCCCCAAATATCCTGATGGTGCATCCCGCTCGGGAGGACATTAAAATCTGCGACTTCGGCTTTGCCCAAAAAATCACCCCAGCAGAGCCACAATACAGCAAGTATGGCTCCCCAGAGTTTGTATCCCCTGAGATCATTGAGCAGACTCCCGTGAGCAAGGCCTCGGACATCTGGTAAGTGAGTGGCCACTGGGGATGCCAGCAGCCCCCGCCCCACACACAGTCGCTGCCCCTCCTCCCACACCCCCCAACTCTGAGCATACCCTTTGCCCAAAGCCCAGGCATGGGATGACTCAAGACTGTGCTTTTGCTCCTGCAGGGCCATGGGGGTCATCTCCTATCTCAGGTAAGCAGACACCTGCCTCTGTCAACCACCCCCTCTGAAACCAAGCGCTGATCCCTTCCCCATCAGACCCATGACAAGCCACGTGCACTACTGGCTGCTTCCCAGATCAAAGACCCAAGACCCACAGGGCAGCTATTATGGGAACCAGCGGTCAGCCAACTCTGATAAGTGGTTTCTGCTGCACTCTTTTCTTACACACTGTGGCCCAGAGGAGCTTGGCCGGGTCACCAGGCAAAGCACTGAGCTGTTTCCCTAAAGGGTCTGCCCAGAGCCTCCTCATTACAGTTACAGCTGCCCTCAAGGAGGCTGCTGGTGTAGATTGAGCCTGGATCCCACCTCACGCTAAGGCTGGGTACATACTCCAGGTTGACCCTTGATCCCTGTCCCAGGCTGAGCGTGGATCTCTGGGCAAATATTGGCCATTTCTGGGACTCTCAGGGCTGGATGGGAGTGGCTCTGTGGCCACTGGGGGCCTTGTAAAAGACCCAGCACTGTTTGCTCTGGCCACCTGCTCCCTATGCATCCAGAAATCCAGGTCACTTCTGAAGGCAAAGTCATGTCTCTGCTTTCAGCCTGACCTGCTCGTCACCGTTTGCTGGTGAGAGTGACCGAGCCACCCTCCTGAATGTGCTGGAGGGGCGGGTGTCTTGGAGCAGCCCCATGGCTGCCCACCTCAGCGAGGATGCCCAGGAATTTATCAAGGCTGCCCTGCAGAGGGCCCCAGAGTGAGTGTGCCACCCTTTCCCCGCCCCGGGTTCTCACAGCCAGCCCCTGGGGCAGCTGACCACTTGGCCTGACGCCTGGCCTTCTTCTCCTCGCAGGGCCCGACCCAGCGCAGCCAAGTGCCTGGCCCACCCTTGGTTCCAGGTGAGCAGGCTGAGCCCAAGCAGGCCTGCACAGGGAGGGAAACAGGCCATGGGGCTGGGGAGGCGGAGGTCTGCGTGGACCACAGGGTGCACCAGGGTCTGCCCTCACCGTCTCTGTCACTTGGGCCCTCTCAGAAGTCCGTGCCCGCGGAGGAGGCCCACTTCATCAACACCAAGCAACTCAAGTTCCTGCTAGCCCGCAGCCGCTGGCAGGTGAGCAGTACAGCCTCGAGGAGGGGGTGAGGGTTAGGGTTAGACCCCCCAAAAGATGCTGAAGAGGGGGCAGAGCTGCGAGGTGGGGGCTGGAGGCCCGCAAGGAAACCAGGCCCCGAGGGCTGGCTGTGTGTCCCCGCAGGGCCTAGGAGAAAGAGAAGCCAGGCTGGGGCATGCGCTCTCTGAGCCCCTGGGGCGGGTCTGGGAGGAGGTGCGTGCCACGCGCAACGTCCCAGCCTGGGCAGGAACAGAACGACACAGCCCTAGGGGATGAGGAGTGGAGCTTGTAACGTGCTCCAGTTCCTGGGTGCCCCTTCAGGGACCACTAGGAGCCGCAAAGCGGGCGGACACACGGCTCACGCGCCCCTGTCCCCCGCATCCCCCAGCGCTCCCTGATGAGCTACAAGTCCATCCTGGTGATGCGCTCCATTCCCGAGCTGCTCCAGGGCCCGCCCGACAGCCCGTCCCTCGGGGTGGCCCGGCACCTGCACGAAGGCGCCAGCGCCGCCTCCAGCAGCTCGTCCTCGTCCTCCGACAACGAGCTGGCACCCTTCGCCAGGGCCAAATCGCTGCCGCCCTCTCCGGTGACCCACTCCCCGCTGCTGCACCCGCGGGGCTTCTTGCGGCCGTCCGCTAGCCTGCCGGAGGAGGCCGAGGCTTGCGCGTCTGCCGCCGCCGCGCCTCGGCCGGCGTCGCCCCCAGGTGCAGAGGTGCCTGCTGCCCCGGGCTGCGTTCCCCGGCAGAGCGTCATCCGCAGCCTCTTCTACCAGCAGGCAGGCGAGGCCCCGGAGCGCGGAGGCCCCGCCATGGGCGGCAGGCGGCACCCCGCCCGGCGGAGGCACCTGCTCAAGGGCGGCTACTTCGCAAAGGCCCTGCCCGGCCTGCGGGAGCCGCTGCTGGAGCATCGCGCGCTGGAGGAGGAGGCCGCCCGGGAGGAGCAGGCCGCTCTGATGGCCAAAGTGCCCTCCTTCGAGACCGCCCTGCGGCTGCCTGGCTCCAGCGCCCGAGTGGCACCCGGCCGCAGCCGATCCCTGGAGCTCGACCAGCCACACTCCACCAGCTCTTCCACTGAGGCCTGTGGCGGGGGGCAGTGCCCTGCCCCAGGCCTCTCAGGCCTCCAGATAGCCTCAGGGGAGAACCTGCCAGGAGGGGTCACATGTGCCCAGGAGATGCAGCGTCCAGAGGGATCCCAGCAGGGGCCAAGACTACTGCCATCCATCGGGGGCCTCCCAGGGGCTGCTCAGCAAGAGGGGTCATCCCAGGACAGCTGTGGGTGGCAGCCCACCCCTTCCTTCCAGCCCCAGTGGGGTCCCACTCCCCTGCAAGGCTGTGGCCCCCCTAAGGCTGTTACACCACAACTTTCTGGCTCCTTCCCTTCAGAGCAGTGCACGGGGCCCCTCTGGGCATCCTCCAGCCCCTTCCTCTCGGGGGAGACCCAGGCTCCCCTCTCCCCAGCCCAAGACAGCTGCCAGCCAGGCTCTATGGAGAGTCCAAAGGACACTTGTCTCCCTGGGAGGCTGAGTCCCCCTAGCTCCTCAGGGCTGGCTTCCCAGGTGGGCACGGGGCCTGGTCCCTCCCAGGATGCCACCCTGGAGCTGGAGGATGCATCAGAACCGGAGCCCAGCCCACAGCGGCCTCAGGAACAGGCCACCATGCGGAAGTTCTCCCTGGGGCAACATGGGGGCTACGCAGGAGTGGCGGGTTATGGCACCTTTGCCTTTGGTGGGGATGCAGGGGGCATGCTGGGGCAGGGTCCCCTGTGGGCCAGGATGGCCTGGGCCACCTCTCAGTCCTCAGAGGAGCATGATGACACTGGGGCTCAGAGCCCACCCCCCCAGGCCAGCGCAGCGCCCCTTCCCGAGGGCAGCAGGGCACCCCCAAGGGCCTCCCCAGAGCTGAGCTCGTGGGAAGACTTCGGCAGGGGCTCCCAGGTGTCCCTGGTGCAGATCCAAGACCTGTCTGGGGACTCAGAAGCAGCGGACACCGTGTCCCTGGACATCTCAGAGGTGGAGCCTGCCTACCTCAACCTGTCCGACCTGTATGACATCAAGTACCTCCCTTTCGAGTTCATGATCTTCAGGAAGGTCCCCAAGCCTGTGGAACCAGAGTCACCTTCCTCCCCGGAATCCGAGGCAGAGGAGGAGCTGGCTGAGTTCCCAGGGGCCGCGTGGCCCTGGCCAGGCGCACTGGGTCCACCAGCCAGCCTGCAGATCACAGAGGAGCCAGAGGACATGGAGACCCTGCTCGGGGAGGCCACTGGCAGTAGGAAGCGGAAATGGTCACCCCCCTCCGGTGGCCTCTTCCACCTCCCCAGGAGACACACGCTGGAGGAGCCCCTGGAGCTGGGACTGCGCAGGAGGGTGAGGGCCTCAGTGGCCCACATCTCCCGCCTCCTGAAGGGCAGGCCGGAAGGTGACTTCCCCACCCCACTCCACCCCCTCCCTGCAGGTAGTAGGTGTCTTGTTTGCACTTTGGGGCACCTCGCTGCCTCCGCGGCTGGGAAGAGCTGGGTGACACAGAATCCACTCTGCTCCAGGGTCCTCTCCCCTGCCCCACATGGGGGCCTCTGTTTCTGAGGTCTCCTGTGTGGCCTCAACCTGCAACCCCCGTGTGCATCTGAGGTCCCTGTGTTGGGACCTGAGAAGGCTTGGAGACACTGGTACAAAGAGAATCAAACCAGTCCTGGCCTCCCCAGGCACCCGTGGCCCCCAAGTCTTACCTGCCCCTGGTGCCCTTGCCCAGGACAGGCTGATCCTGACAGGGGTCAGAAGGGGGTGGTCTCTGCAGCAAGTTTAGCTCATTTGCAACAAAAGTCTGTGGGATCTGGGCTCTTGTGCCCTGTGTGGGAGTCCACTGTGGGTGGCAGCTGGGCCCCTTAGGTGTGACTTCTGGAGGCCTCCTCCCTGCAGGTCTGGAGAAAGAGAGCCCCCCCAGGAAGAAGGCAGGCCTGGCTTCCTTTCGGCTGGGCCTGAAAAGCAAGGACCGAGGTGGGTGTGCTGCCCTGGGGGGCCGAGCCGCACTGCAGCTGAGGGGACCCAGCTGTGGGGGACGGGAGCCCCTCCTCAGTGCCCAGACCAGTGTGGGGGACAAGCTTACATCCACGGGGGCTGGAGCCCAGATAGGTGAGGGGGGGTGCTCTGGTACCATTATTGGGGCAGTTCTGGAGGACTTTCTGAGGCAGGTGCTAGTGTTAAAGATGAGCTCAGTGAGGGTGGGCTTCCCCAGCATCCCTGCCTCAGGGGTCCAGGTTCTCAGGTTGGGGATCATCTCTGAAGGCTCCCCTGCCTCCCTTCCTGCTCCCCAGCGCCATCCTTTCTAAGGGAGCTCTCAGATGAAACGGTGGTCTTGGGCCAGTCAGTGACTCTTGCCTGCCAAGTGTCAGCCCAGCCAGCTGCACAGGCCACCTGGAGCAAAGGTAAGGAGGTGTCCTGGGGCTGGGGTGCAGGAAGGAGGAGGGCACTGCTCTCACTGTACAGAGGGAACCTGAGGCCCCAGGAGGGCAAGGGTCTCCAGGCAGGGTGCATATTCGAGCTGCTCCCCAGGTCTGCTCTGTCCTGCTGCAGATGGGACTCCCCTGGAGAGTAGCAGCCGCCTCCTTATCTCCTCCACACTCAAGAACTTCCAGCTCCTGACCATCCTGGTGGTGAATGCTGATGACCTGGGAGTGTACACGTGCAGCGTTCGCAACACGCTGGGGACTGCGGCCACCACGGCCATCCTCCGGAAGGCAGGTGGGTGCACCGTGCCAGGCCCTCTGGGTGGAGACAGGGAGAGGGGCCACCCCACATGCCACTGCCTCCTTCTGGAGGTTTCCTCCAGGCCCACGGAGGCAGGGGAGGGGATGAGACTCTTCTGGGGTGCCTGGAGACCCCTTATCACTTTGAGGGTGGGTTTATGCTGGGCCCCTCTGCTGGAGGCCTACAGAATGTGACGCTCACCAGCCAGTTGTGCACAACCCAGCACACTGGCAAGCCTGGAGGGGCCACAGAGGGTAGGAGTCCACTCTGCAGGCTGGAACCCCCAGGATGGGAGGCAGAAGGCAGGAGGCAGGGTGGCCCACCTGGCCCAGACCTTTCCCCTGCCCTTCTGGGCGTGGGGGGGGGGGGGGGCTCCTCTCCTTGCATTTCACACCCATTTCCTCCCAGTTCTTCTAGCCAATGGAGGACCAGGCTGCTTCCCAGTTTGTATTTCTATTACGGTCAAACTATGATCTCAAAAACAGTGCATGGGACCCCAAACAGGGGCTGTGGGTGCAGCCCTCGGGCCCTGGCTTAATTCTCAGCAATGGCCAACCAGCAGGTGTTTGTCAGGTGAACCTGAGCAGCCAGGACAGGCCTCCTTGTGGGGGGCCTGGCACTGGCAGAGGGCTGTCCCTGAGGGCCACTCCACGGGCTTCCTGAGTACATGGTGGGAAGGGAGCCTGGCAGGGTACACACCTACCAAGGCCCCCACCACAGGAGGCCCTGGGCCCTTCTACTTACTGGTCAGTGCTGGAAGGGGACCCCGAACGAATGGGACTAGGGGATGGTGGGCTCAGGGTCCTGGCTGCAGGTGTAGGAGGGCAAGGCAGGGCGGGCAGGGGCTCTGAGCTGCATCGGAAGCCCTGGAAAGGCCCCCCCACCCTGACTGCTGACTGTGGCCCCGCAGAGCGCCCCTCGTCTTCCCCCCGCCCGGACATCGGGGAGGTATATGCCGACGGGGTGCTGCTGGTCTGGAAACCCGTGGAGTCATACGGCCCCGTAACCTACATTGTGCAGTGCAGCTTGGAAGGTGCGAGCCGTCCCGGTGTCCCCCGGGTGCCCATCGGGGAAGCCTGCCTGGCTGGGGGGCCTCAGGCAGAGCCCAGCCAACTCCGTGCTCCCTCTGGGAGGGGTCTGTCCACCCCCTGGCCCTGGGGAGGGGGGCCTTGGGCTAGTGCTCACCCATGCCCCTCCTGTGTGGCCCAGGTGGCAGCTGGAACACCCTGGCTTCTGACATCTTCGACTGCTGCTACGGCGCCAGCAAGCTTTCGAGGGGCGGCACATACATCTTCCGCACGGCCTGCGTCAGCAAGGCGGGCATGGGTCCTTACAGCAGCCCCTCAGAGCCGGTTCTCCTGGGAGGGCCCAGCCACCTGGGTGAGCCTGCTGGGCGGGGCGGTGGCCATGCGCTATCACTCCAGTCACACGTACTCTCTGGGATGCTTTTTAAATTTATTTTTGTTTTATTTATTTTTGAGAGAGAAAGAGCATGAGCAGGGGAGGGGCACAGAAAGGGAGAGAGAATCCTAAGCAGGCTCTGAGCTGTGGGTTTGAACTCACCAACCATGAGATCATGACAAGAGCAGAAATCAAGAGTCAGACGCTTAAGGGACTGAGCCCCCGGGACTGCCCCTAGGAAAGTTTGGTTTAACCTATAGGTCCCTGCATCTCCATGGCCCAAGGAATGAGGTCAAAGTGTGGGGATTCACAGAAGGGCCCCTGTCAGGGTGCCTGGGAAGGGGGAGAGGAAACGAGGTGGGGGGAGCTGGGGCTGGAGGGGTGCCTCCGTCACTGACTCCTTCTCCCGTAGCCTCTGAGGAGGAGAGCAGCGCCTCGCGGCCAGCCCAGCCCCTCCCCAGCACGCAGACGTTCGCCTTCCAGACGCAGATCCGAAGGTAAAGGGAAGGCGGACCTCCCCGCCACAGCCCACCACCCCGCTGGCCCAGCCTCCCTCCCCACTTGGCGCCTCCACCCAAGTTTGGTTCAGAGCCTCTGTGCCGTCCTCCCCCTTCCCGGAAGGCTCTGGTCACCTCCCGCTGGGCTTGCTTTACTGATACTGGGAAGGAGGGTGCGTGGGGGGTGTCCTCACAAGCCTGGCCGGTGCCCCCTCGCCCAGGGGCCGCTTCAGCGTGGTGCGGCAGTGCCGGGAGAAGGCCAGCGGACGCGCGCTGGCCGCGAAGATCGTTCCCTATCGCCCCGAGGACAGGACTGCCGTACTGCGCGAATACGAGGCTCTCAAGAGCCTGCGCCACCCGCACCTGGCCCAGCTGCAGGCCGCCTACCTCAGCCCCCGGCACCTGGTCCTCATCTTGGAGCTTTGCTCGGGACCCGAGCTGCTCCCCTGCCTGGCGGAGAGGTGAGGGGTGGCCTGCCTGCTGGTCCCGGGGCGGGAATGTAAAGAGCGTCGGAGCGCGGAGGGGAGCGCGCTGCGTACCACCTCCGGGCTCCGCCTCCACCGACCAGCCCATGTCCCGGAGCTTTAGCAGAGCGGGGGTGCCCCTCCCAAGGCCACGGGCAGGGCTCGTGTCTCCGCGCCCCTTCTGCCGTGGACAGAGCCGAGTCCCTCTTCTCACGCGCCCCCAGGGTCTCCTACTCAGAGTCGGAGGTGAAGGATTACCTATGGCAGATGCTTAGCGCCGCCCAGTACCTGCACGCCCAGCGCATTCTGCATCTGGACCTCAGGTCCGAGAACATGATCGTCACCGAATACAACTTACTCAAGGTCGTCGACCTGGGCAACGCCCAGAGCCTCGCCCAGGAGAAGGTCCTGCCCTCCGAGAGGTTCAAGGACTACGTGGAGACCATGGGTGCGCGGGGAGCGGACGCCAACCTGACCTGGGGGGAAGGGTGGGCCAGGAGGAAACCCCGCCCCCAGGCCTGCGTCCCTCCCCAGCCTCTCACCTGTGCCCTGACCTGTACTCACTCCCAGCTCCCGAGCTCCTGGAGGGCCAGGGTGCCGTCCCACAGACCGACATCTGGGCTATAGGCGTGACAGCCTTCATCATGTGAGTTCTCCAAGCGCAGGGGCGGAGCGGGGGGGGGGGGGGGGGACTGGGCATCCACGGAGGGTTCTCCCAGACCCCCCGCTGTCCCCCCCCCACACACCCGATGGTTACCTGAGTCTCCTGATCCCCCACGCGCGCAGGCTGAGCGCGGAGTACCCGGTGAACGGTGAAGGGACACGCGACCTGCAGAAAGCCTTGCGCAAGGGGCTCATCCGTCTGGGTTGCTGCTACGCGGGGCTGTCCGGCGGCGCGGTGGCTTTTCTCCGGAGCACGTTGTGTGCGCACCCCTGGTAAGGTGGCCGTCCTGTCCGTCGCATCCCCTTGCGCTCCGCCCCGAGCCCAGCCCTCCCACCCCGCCTGGCCCACGCCCTACGTCCCTTCTCCGCTCGGCCTCCGCTCCCAGAGCTCAGCTGGTACCGTTTCCCTCTCTCCAGGGGCCGGCCGTGCGCGACCAGCTGCCTACAGTGTCCATGGCTAACCGAGGAGGGCCCTGCGGGCTCCCAGCCCGCGGCTGTCTCCTTCTCCACCGCGCGACTTCGAGCCTTCGTGCGCGAGCGAGAGAAGAAGAGGGCGCTGCTGTACAAGAAGCACAACTTGGCCCAGGTGCACTAAGCACCCGGCCTGGCAGAGAGGGGGTGTGTGTGATGGGGGGGTGGGAGGTCGCCCTTCTGGGCTGCGCCCCTCAGTCTCCGCTCTAGGACTCGCTGTATATGAACAGACAGGCCAATAAAAAAGCAGAACCGGATGAAGTGTTATCTCTTTCTTTGTGGGTTTGTTTGGAGAAGGAGGAGAGGGTTCCGCCACCTCACTTGGAGGTTGGGGGCCAATCAGACAGCAGAACTGCCCTTCCCTGTGGAATGGGTGGAAGTCAGGCATCCTGGTTCATGGAGTGGGGTAGCCAGGGCACCCTCAATGGAGGTGACCGGCTCATCCAGCTTACAGTCCTGGGGAAACTGGGACAGTTGGTCCCCAGCCTCGCCCCACCAGCTGGCCCCCAAGGCACCTCTCTTGGGCTCCTGGATGCTCCAAAGTGCATGGATAGAAAATCATCAGCTTGGCCCCCATTGTCACCTCCCTGGCCTGGTGTGGCCTCCAGAATTGGCCACAGCAGCTCTATCTCAGTCGGAGGCAGAAAGGAGCCTGGTGGGTGACCAGCAGTCCCTCCCCCCCCCCAGAGGGAGGCAGAGGTGGATTCTTATACAGGAGGGCCGTAGAGGCTGAAGAAGGATCCTGAACCAGAGTCCCCCCAACCCCCTGCCTCCTGCTCCTGCTAGATGTTCTGGCCACTCTCACCGGGAAATCTCATTTGGAAAGAATGTGTGGTTCTGATGTGCCATGAGCACTTGCTGCCTTGTTTGATCTCTACCAGTTCTAATTCTAGTTTCGGTTAGGAATGGCCTCCCTCCAGCACTCCCTTCTGGAACAGGTCCACTGTGCCCAGGGACTCTGAGCCCTCTACTGAGAGTCCCTCCACAGTCCTGTAGCCCTGACCACTCTTGTTCAGACACACAGTGAACACACCTCTAGTCTCAGTCCTCATGATCTACATCTGAGCCCACTCCTTCCTCTCCATCACATGCTCATCCAGCCCCAGCTGGCTTGGCTCTGCACATGGGGACCCAGGTGAGACTTTGAGCAACCTGTCTTCTGAGACTGCATTTCTTTGGTAACCTCCTCTGTGTGATGTTCTGGGATGATATGTCCTTGTCTAAGCCTGTTTAGATCTAATTTTGCAGGGTCAGCCCAGCTCCAACTAGCACATGTTGAGAGATACTCACTGGGGCTGCAGAGAGGCAATGTCTCCTCCAGTGGTTCAGCTTCCCTCAGTTCTTGCTGGTGGCTGGCCTAACTTCCCAGCAAACCCAGGTGTCCTTGAGAGTTCTATCTTGTTACTCTGCCCCTGTGCTTAGTGCACAGTGGCTAGTGTGTCCTCACAGACTTGTTTTGGACTTGCCCTTTCTAATGTCATGTGGCATGATCCATGACCCTTTTCCCAGACTGAACCCTGTTGAATGAACTCACTCAGCCCCAAAGTCCCTGCATTTATCTGTTATGACTATTTCGTTGGTAAGCTGTTTCTAAAGATCAAATCTAACACAACTTGTTTTTAACAGTTGTGTTGTACTTTAGGATATGGTAACTTTTTAAAATGATTTTTTAAAGTCTATTATTTTGAGAGAGGGACAGAGTGGGGCAGAAGAAGGGAGAGAGACAATCAAACAGGCTCCACGCTCAGCAAGGAGCCTGACGCAAGGCTTGATCCCATGACCCTGGGATCATGACTTGAGCAGAAATCAAGAGTCAGATGCTCAACCGACTGAGCCACCCAGGTGCTCCTGAATTTTGAAGATTATGTGTGTATTCTGAATATTTATCCTTTGTGAGATATGTGGCTTACAAATATTTTCTTCCACTTTGCAGCTTTTTTCCCCATCCTTTTAACAAGGCCTTTCAAAGAGCAAGTTTTAATTTTTTAGGACAGTAATTTTTATTTTTATTTCTTTTGTTAGTACTCTTTATGCCCAGCATGGAGCCCAATGTGAGGGACCCAAACTCATGACCCTGAAAGCCAGACCAGATCAAGATCAAGAGTCAGATGGCTAACCGACTGAACCACCCAGGCACCCCTAGAACGATTTATTTATTTATTTATGTATTTATGTATTTATTTATTTATTTATTTTAAAACAAATAGACATGGGGGGGGAAAGAGAGGCAAACCACAGTCTTTTTAGTGTTTATTTTTGAGAGAGAGAGAGAGAGAGAGAGAATGAGCAGGGAGGGGCAGAAAAAGAGAGAGAGAGAGAGAGAGAGAGAGAGAGAGAGAGAGAATCTGAAGCAGGTTCCAGGCTCCCAGCTGTCAGCACAGAGCCTGATGTGAGGCTGGAACTCACGAACCCTGAGCTCTTGACCTGAGCCAAAGTCTGACGCTTAATTGACTGTGCCACCCAAGTGCCCCCAGATTGGGTAAATTCTATTGTCATATCTTCAGGTTCACCAGTTCCATTCTCTGTCCCCTTCATTCTGCTGTTGAGCTATATTTTGGTTATTGTATTGTTCAGTTCCAAAATTTCCATTTGGTTATTCTTTATGTCTCTACTTCTTTCCTAAGACTCTCGATTTTTTTGCTGAAACATTTGACTTATAACTTGTTTCATGTGTGTTTGTAATTTTTGTTGAAGTATTTTTATCATAATAGCTTTAAAACATTTATCAGATAATTCCAACAATATTGTCATGTCAATATTGGTGCCCATTCCTTGTCTTTTTTTTTCGTTTTCCACTCATTTTGGGATCTTCTTAGTTTTTGGTTCTTAGTTATGACAAGTTATGACTTTTTACTGATATGTGGACACTTTCATAACATGTTATGAGACTCTGGTTCTTATTTAAGGCTTCTGTTTTAGCTGCCTGTAATATAAGAAGAAGTATATGTGGTCTTTGTCCTACATTTCTGGCACAGAGTCCCTAAAATTCCAGGCTCCTTGGAATTTCCTGAGTGATGCAAATGTTTTTTTGTTACTCCTGAAGAGTTCCTTTAGAGCACACCTTAGTTTATGCTAATGAAGTGACTTAGGATGGGAACCATGGGTGGCCTCGGGATGACCAAAAGGGCCAAGTGCCTAGAGGATTGGAACTTCCATCTCTATCCCTGATCTCTGGGGAGGGGAGGGGGCTGGAGTTTGAGCTCTATAAAATCGCTTGAACAACGAGATTCCAAGAGCTTCTCGGTTGATGAACACGTCAACTTGCCGGAAAGGGTGATGCCCCAGAGAGGGTATTAAATCACCATCCTGCTCCTGTACCTTTCCCTGTGCCTCTCTTCCACCTGGATGTTCCTGAGTTGTATCCTTTGTAGTAAACTGGTAAACCTAAGTGTTTCATGAATTCTGTGAGCCACTCTAGCAAATCATCAAACCTGGGGAGGAGCTTGTGGGAGTCTCCAATTTATTGTTGGTTGGTCAGAAGTACAGGTGGCCTAGGACTTGCACCTTGCATTGTAAGTGGGAACGACTTGTGGGGTCTGGACCTTTAACCTGTGGAATCCGATGTTAATTCTAGGTATGCAGTGTCAAAACCAAATTGAATTGTTGGCTGCCTAGCTGATGTCCAGAGAATAAGAGAATTGGTTGTTGGTGATGGAAAGCAGCCCTGACTGGCTGTCTCCAACACTACTCCAGCAGGGGAAGGTTTGATGTCACCTCATTACTGCCTGGCAGAGGGAGAAGGGGTACCACTGACATTGCTGGCAGGGTGGGGGCTCTACTTACTGTTGAACAGAGGTGGGCATTGCAGCTACCCTCTGGTCTCCTCTGACTCCCAGGTATTGCACAGCAAGGCTGAAAGTCCAGCTCCCCACTTGGTCTTTTATGGAACTCTCCCAGAAGGGGTGGGTTTGAGAAGGCTCATTACCGCCTGGCTGCGGCCAAAGTCTGGGATATTCAAGTTTTCTGTCCTGCTAGGCTGTTCCTGTCCTGGTCCTATGGCTAGAAGGAGTAGGCTTTTGGGGGACATTTTTTTTTGTCAGTGCTCATTTGTGTTTCTGAGTTGTTGGCTTCTTGTTCTCCAAGTCTGGGATACATGAGGGAAAAAGAAAATGCAGGAAAATCACCATAGGTGTTGTTCCTAGGATCACAAGTTCCCTACGGTCCACCTTGTGTCTCTACCTTTCAAGGTTGTTGTAGGCTTGTGCCCCACCCCCCCAAATTATATGTTCAATTCCTAACCCCCCAGACCTCTGAGGTGACTATATTTGTGGCAATATTTGGAAATAGGGTGTTTAAAGTGTTAATTAAGGTACAATGAGGTCACTAGTGTGGGCACTAACCCCACAGGACTGGTGTCATTATAAGAAGAGGAGATCAGGACACAGGCTGGCACAGATGGATGACCATGTGAGGACACACCAATGAGAGAGGGGCCTCGGGAGGAACTATCTGTGACCATACCTGGATCTCAGACTTCCAGCCTCTGGGAGTGGGGAAAAGTAAATGTCTGTTATTTAAACCTCCTAGTGTTTATTATACAGCCTGAGTTGACTAGCATAAGGGTCTTCTTATGTTTGTTTTATATGTAATTTCTGAGCTCTTATTTGTATCTAGTGAAGGGAATAGTAAGAAGCTCACATACTCTATTGTCTTCAGAAGTGAGGGTCCTTTAGTTACCATTTTGGAGTATCTCACTTTCTTTAACCCAGGTGTTCAACCACTGATTAACGGGTAAAGAAGATGGGGTCCATGCATACAATGAGATATCACTCAGCCTTAGAAAACAAGGAGAGCTTCCCATTCACTTGTGACAACATGGAAGGGCCTAGTGGGTATTATGCTAAGTGCAATAAGTCAGAGAAAGACAAATAAGATTTCACTCATACCTGGAACTTAAGAAACAAAGCAAATGAACAAAACAAAGAGAAAAGAGACAGACAAAATAACAGATTCTTAAATACAGAGAACAAACTGGTGGTTGCCAGAAGGGAGGTGGGGGGGCGGGAATGGGTGAAATAGATAAAGTACAAATTTGCAGTTACAAAATAAAGAAGTCGTGGAGATGAAAAGTAGAACAGTAAGATTTTAATAACATTGTTTGGTGACAGATGGCAACTATACTTATTGTGATGAGCACTGAGTAATGTATAGATTTGTCAAATCACTATATTGTACACTTGAAACTAACATAACACTATATGTCAATTATACTTCCATTTAAAAAAGAACAGAAAAAAAACACCTAACTAGGCACCTG